TATAATCTTGATTCCAAAGAAGGCGACAACCACATCTTTTGCAGACTTCCGGTCGATTAGTCTGTGCAATTTCATTAATAAAGTGTTCACAAAGCTTCTCACTGAAAGAATGAAAAAGGTACTTCCTAGATTGATCTCAAAGGAGCAGTCAGCCTTTTTAGAAGGTCGGGATATTATGGATAACATCCTTCTCACTCAGGATCTCATTCAATTCCTTGATCATAAAGTAAGGGGGGGGGGGGCAACCTAATTCTGAAAGTGGACATAATAAAAGCTTTCGATCGAGTCTCATGGAGTTTTTTGTAATAGATCTTGTTGAGATTTAGTTTTCATCAAAACTTTAATAATTTGGTGATGAGCAATTTAAATAGAAGCTGGTTTTCTATCCTTATCAATGGAAGTCCGGTTGGTTATTTTCAAGCCTCGCGAGGAATAAAGCAAGGGGATCCTCTATTGCCTATCTCTTCATTCTTTTGTCTGAAGCTTTGACACGAAATATGAAGAAACTCACAAAAGATGGGAGAGTAGCTTTGTATGGAATGCCAGCAAGAACAATCATACCATCTCATTTATGCTTCGCGGATAATCTAGTCATTTTTACAAAAGGCTTAAAAAGTTCTTTGCAGCAACTGATGATATTATTTCAGGACTATGAATATACAACAGGGCAGAAAATGAATAAGCAGAAGAGCACTTATCTAGTCTCAGAAAAAATTGGGAAGGAACATATCTCATTGATAGATGATACGCTGCAAATGCAAAGAGGTGTATTCCCTTTCAAGTATTTGGGTTGAAATTTATTTAAAGGACGAAAAAAAAGGAGTATTTCAATCATATTCTTGAAGCTTTTGATGCTAAATTGTTGAACTGGAAGAATAACTTCCTCACACAAGGAGGAAAGTTGTTGCTTATTAAACATGTCCTGTCTGCGATTCTCCTTCACACAACAGCTGCAATTGTTCCTCCGAAATCAATTCTGGAATGCATTGAACGGAAATGCCAGCAATTTCTTTGGGGGAGAAACTGAAGAAGGAAGTAATCGCCATTGGAGAGCTTGGGGAAATTAACTTATCCCATATCGGAAAATGACTAGGCTGCAAAGATTGACTGATGTTATTCGAGCCTTCTTTATGAAAATTTGGTGGAAAATAAAAAATAAACAAAGAATTTGGGTAGAATTCATATGCTCTCTTTCAGCCACGTCCAGGGAAAAACAAGCTGGTCAAGAGTTCTTCAAGTCAATCATATCGCAGCTTCAAAGAGTAGAATGCTTATAAGAGACGGTTCATCTTCTTTTTGGCATGATCATTGGCTAGATTCTGGTATACTTTGGAACGAATCCGGAGCTCCCCCAGCATCTGAACTAATAGTGAAAGATTTTTTTCTTTCCAAATATTTTTTCTTGATTGTTTTTGCAGGTCTTTTGGAGGAGCAAAAAATAGAGTAGCTGAGACGATTGGAGATCACTTTTGTGGATGACCCGGATAAGTTGGTGTAGATGCCTACAATGACTGGACACTTCTCCATTGCAACAGCATATGAAGCAGCTCGGCCTCATAGAGAAGAATTTCTTCCTCTCAAAACTCTTTGGAATAAACTTATTCCTCTTAAGATTTTCTTCTTTGCATGGAAACTTTTTATTCGTTTGCTTCCCTTCCCTGATATCTTGCATAAAATTGGTTTAGTCATGAACCCATCAAGATACCCTTTTTGTCACGAAGATGAGGAAACCATTGATCATATTTTTTATTCATGTCAAAACATAAAATTGCTTTGGAATCATTTTGCCTCCCTTTTTGGAATTTACATTCCGGAAAATGCAGGGTGGTGGAATAGCTTGCGGACTTAGCAAATGGTGGGGAGTTTCACCTCAGCGAAAAATTCTATCATCATGGTTACACCTGCTTTCTTTTTATGGGAAACTTGGAAGTTGCGGAATAAAATCATTTACGATGGTATGAATTTTTCATTGAATTTTTTGATAAAAGAAGTCATAACTAACATTTCGAATATGTTGAGTGTACATGGTATATCAGCAAAGACAATGAGGAGCACAAAGAGCTTGAAGATCTTTTCAATGTGAAGGTATTGAAGCCGAAGCCTAAGTGATAAAGATGTTGAGATGGCACCTCCAAATCTAGGGGAAGTAATATTGAATACAGATGGCTTTGCATTAGAGCAACCTGGTAATGCTGGATGGGGATATGTCGTAAGAGGGGATCGTGGCGCCTTCATGTTTGCGGAATGCAACAACATAGGTATTGCTACAAGTTTTGAAGCGGAGCTTGGGAGAATTTACAATAGCCTTAGAGCCTGTGAGAAAAAAGGACTACATAAACTCGTGGTTCAAACAGATAATGCTAGCATTCTCGCCTGATAAAGCAAGGCAAGGGATTTCCATGGAAGCATCATATGCTTTTGGAAAAAGTTCAGCAAAAATTGATTCTTACCAACTCTAGGATTACACATATTTATCGAGAGGTAAATAGTGTGGCAGATGAGCTAGCCAAATAAGCATCAATGGGAAGTACTTTGCACTATCATTCATATGAGGGTTTTCCAATCACATTGCGAGGCAAGGTATATCTAGATAGGAATAGCTTCCTTTACTTAAGGGTTAGATAAAATTTAAGGCATAGAATAGGTCAAGTGGAGATGTCATGGGATTTATGTTCAAATCTTTGTCAGACATTCTCTTAGTCTATAATTTACTTTATCTATTAGTGAGACCTATCATGGGATAGCTGTGTCTATCTTTGTAAGATAAGGTAATAGGATTTTATTGCTTATTAGAGAACCGTCGTGGAGTTTTTAGCAAAACTTTCTGTAAGACGGTCTCTTTTGATTTGGGTAAGTTTTAAGCACTGCTTGTGTAATTTTTTTCTGAAAATTAATAAAATCGGAGGGATGCCCGCCAAGTACCGCCGCCCTGGTTCTCCTTAAAAAAAATTGATTTTTATCTTTACACACTTCTAATACATTTATTTTCTTAAGGTATAACCTAATTAAGAACACTCAAATTTGAAATTAGTTATGAGTATAAAAGAACATCAAACCTACAATCTCAACTTGAACTAATTTTTATAAATAAATTCGATTAAATAACAAGATATTCATCTACGTTAATTAATACATACAATTTAAATTTTATTTTTTTCATTATATATCATGTGTAATAGTTACATTCATTTTATGTAATCAAAATTTCATTTTGAAATTATTATTTTTTATTTATGAAAAATATTAATTATATTTTTATTAAAATATGTGTGTATAATTATGATACTAATAATAAGAACAATTGAATAAACATTCGGACATAACTCATAAATATTCAAATTAAGTGTTCAGACTTTGGACTTCAAACTTCAGTTTTTAGACATTTAGTTTAGATGTTTTTATCAAACAACACGAATGCAGTCTCTAGATTTCAAACAACACAACTATGGGGGATTCTTCTATTGCAATCCTTGCTACGATTTGAGAATCGGATTGTTCAAGTGTTTGTTTACCGACCCTTAGTGAGATTAGGCTTCTATTGGTGGAACTTTCTTTCTCCACTCTATATTGGATCCCTAGTTCAAAGAATAATGTAGCTCAAATAATGTAGCTCATGTTATAGCTAGCCATTCCAAGTCCAATATAAAATCGGTTAAAACTTGGTTGACACCACCAAGGTTTTTGTATCAATCAGTGCTGGCTGATTTCTAACAAGTTTAATGAAAGTCTTTGTTTATTTCAAAAAAATCAAACAGAGCAAGTCAAGAATCTTACACTTAAATTCAGAATTGCATAGAGAACAAGAAAGATAAAATAGTTTTTTAATTACTCAATACGTTTAAGTAGTTACGACAATCTTTAAAAATTCTAATCTATAGATTATTATAAGAGAGAAACCAGAGAGTGAAAATAAAATAACTTATAAAGTGATACATAGGACAAAATCCTATGTGCAATTTTCTCATTCATTCCCCCATAAAAAACTTAGTGCAATTGTCTTTAGGTCCTCCAAATTAAACTTAAATAAAAAGATTTAATATGAAAATATTCACATGGAATCAAATTTTAGGATTAGATAAATCAAACTACCAAAAACTAATGATTAATTAGAAGATCATTGAAATTAAAATTTAAGGATGAAAACTTGAAAAAGACAATTAGAGATATGATAGATTTTTTTTATAACGAAATATAAAATATGTTGTTAATTTACATGACATTCATAGTGTTTAATCACTTATTATAGCGAAATATAAAATATGTTCAATTTTTTGTAAGAGTAACATACCTTTCATTTTAATTTTTTTTTTTCTATCCAATGGATATTGTCAATCCTGTGCAACGCACGGGTTTAATATCTAGTACTCTTAATAATAATTTCTAATCTTCGGTTGCCCTTAAGCAAAATTCTCAAAAAAAAAAAAAAAGGTTTACAAATAATATTAGGACGATTAATTTTCTTTTATTTTTTTTATATAATATAAAAAACCTTTACAAGGTGAATTCTCATTTCGCAATAGGGTACCCTTTCAAATATTGTATTTTCTTTTTCTTTTTCTCTAGAAATACTCTCTCTGTCCTAAAATTATTGTTCAGTTTGAGATTTCATTTTTAGTACAATTTGAACTAGAAATGAAAATTCAAACTGGACAATAATTATGGGAGAGAGGGAGTATTAATTTTGGTTAACCCTACAACCGTACAAGTCAATGCCAACGGTTTGAGTCATTATATGTGCAGTCTGGCAGTAAATAGTCAACGGTGGTCAAATCTCCCCACCCACTCACCAGCACCGCTAATTTTACAAGCCTATTAAATGAATCTGGACGATATAGCATCCAGATACAATTCCACAAAAATAGCATTTCCAAATTTTCACAAATCTTGGGTTGACTGATGGACTCATGACTAACCCCACCGGAAGACATGAACTTGGACACTTTCCAAGAATTTTTATTGTTTTTTTAAGGCTGTTACACACGTGGACTCTACCAATGCCTTTACAATTGTACACGAAGAAGATCTTCCCTTTTTATTAGCTTCTTTTCTAAAAAATAAAAAATAAAAAAAAACCCAAATTTCAATGAATTTTACTTCTCCATTGGAATTGGAATTGGAGAAATCCATATTTATTGTGTAATCTGATGAATTTGGTCATCTTTTCGTATGATGATACAGTATAAGAGTCAGGAATTCGACAGCTAAGCCAATTCCTGGGATTAAAAACCAGAGCACCAAAATTTGTATATATTTTTGGCTGATGAATTAAATGCTGTTTTAAGTCAGCATTTAAATTGACAGAAGATTACATTTAAATTGACAATCACCCAACACCTTCCATAGTGGGATTTCAACCTGAAAATCTCACAAATTTGTGAGAAAGAAAGCGAACCCTTTTGTTGTTTTCATGATTGTTTGGGCTTGATAAGATAGAAATCAAGAAACCTCGTTTACAGAGGTGTCACATTCATTGAACGTGGACGATTTTGTTGTCTCTGGGATTTTTTTTTTTTTCTTTCTTTCTGGGTTGGCGGAATAGTTTTGCTGTTTGAAGGAAGAAGACGAGGACCATTGAGCGTGGGAATGAGAAAAGGCAGGGTAATAATAATACTCTAATAAACATTTGGCTGGCTGTTGTTTATTTGATTTTGTTCTTTCGTTTAATTCTGTTATTATGTATTTTTCCTTTTGGGTTTAAAGTTTAATACACTTGTCAAAGGTTTCCTTCCCATTTGTTTATTGAGATGTTTTTTTGGTATTTGTTTTTGCAGTTTTAAGGGATACAAAGTGGGGCCAAAAGCACCGATTTTGATCTCTCCTCCCCACTATCTGTGGTGTTCACAGAAACGCACTCAGTAAGAAGAAAACTTTCTTCCTTTTTATTTTTTATTTTTTGAACTCTCTTTTTGTGTCTGTTTATTCACTGTAGATAATGAAAGGAACCATTTTTTTTTTTGAGCTTCAATGTTTGGGGAATTCTTAGCCGGTCTTTTTTTCTATTCCAGAGAGAGAATGTGTTATCTGTTCTAAAAGAGATGGAATTTTATTTGAACTTTACAACATGTTTCTGATGATCAACTGCACCAGTTCCAGAGTGTAATTTTAATGGGACAAAAGTGCTACTAAAAAAGAGCTTGTTTCTATTACCATAAAGCCATTGCATGTCAGCTTCTCCACTTCTATAGTTGGATCTGTTCAGAGTCTGATATGGGTTGCTTTTATATGGAGGCAGAACTAAAGATTTGATATGCTACATTTGGTACCCGAGAGGACATTTTGTAATGGTATATCTGCAGAGGAATGAAAAGAAGCAAATTTTGTCCACCTTTATCCTCTGTATCTAGTACTGCACTTTGGACTGTGACCTAAAATTTACTAAGGAATAAAGTTACAACCTTGGGATTTTGAACAAAACTAAAACCTGCAATCAAGCAATTAAGTTCGGTTACAAAGGTTTCAGAATTTTAACAATGTCTTCTAGTAAGATGTTTTAAGTAACTATGCATAAGTAGTTCTAGGAATCGGTCACTTCAGGATTTCATTATTGTCAAGGGTGGTCAACAGCTATGGCCTTTTGTGGTTCGTAGTAATGGCAGACGTTTAATAGGTAGTAATCATCAAAAGCTGAAACTGTGATCATGGTCAGAAATTTCCTTCAGTTTTCACTTTGGATTTTGGAAGTAGTTTGTGACTTGTTTACTTCAGAATGTGATGAATGCACTTCTGTAAGATTCACGGTTGCTAGGAACAGACCCTTTTAAAAGTCAAATGTGTGTAGGATGAATTAAATTTATGGCTAAAAGTCTGATATGATTACAATATTCAGCGGTTCTCAAGCTATCCATTTGTCTTGGAGCCAAAATCTTTGAAACTTCTCTTCTAGATTCTGTTTTCTGATAACGCTTTTGACTAAGAAGTGCCCCAATTCCAATAGGTTACTGCTGTTGATTTTCTAGTCTACCTGGAAACTTTGACCTATAAACTAAACTTATATATAAACGGTAGAAATTCTTAGTTCCTGCCATCGAACAGAAGCTTGGGACGAAGTGTTAATACTCGAGCTATCTGCAGTATGTTTTCATTAATTTTCTTCAGTTAAACTGATGCAAAAACTATCCTGGTTGTTGTATTTTGTTCATGTCAGTCAAATGCATGTAATTAATTTTATTAGGCCCCTCTTCCTTACTTGAATCCTATTGCCAACTCTTCTTCATAGAAACTCTATAACAGAATCATGTGTATTGCTAGTAAAATGCTGCAGTTGGTACAGAAAATGAGCATAAGTTAACTTTAATAGTGGTTTGAACTTGGCTTTCCTGGTTTATCTTTCTCTTTCCCTTATTTATGCAAATGCATGTATTGCAGGGTGATCTGTTTCCTGGTTTATAACCAATAACGTTACTAGACTTGTCTCTGATGGGTCATAATGGTGACACTGGAAGTGAAACAAAAGAGATGGATGTTAGAAGTGTTTCATCCTCACGACGTCAGAGCATACCTTACATCCATAAGGTTGGAGTTCCGCCAAAACAAAACCTCTTTACCGAGATTAAATCCACAGTGAAAGAAACATTCTTTTCGGATGATCCCTTCAAACCATTTAAGGATCAGCCGAAGTCCCGGAAATTGATCCTTGGAGTGCAGGCTGTCTTCCCAATTTTAGAATGGGGCCGACATTACAATCTTAGTAAATTTAAGGGTGACCTCATTGCTGGGTTGACTATTGCTAGTCTCTGCATTCCTCAGGTATTGTAGATAACAAAATCATAGAATTAAGTTTGGAAGTTCTGTCTTAGTATTTGATGGATCATAATTAGTTGCTCCTATGTACATCAGGATATCGGTTACTCGAAGCTTGCCAATCTGGCACCTCAGTATGGACTATGTAAGTGTTATCACTATTTGGTTCATCATATATTTTTATAATTCATGCTCTTACAAGTTACAATTTGTCCACCAGATTCCAGTTTCGTCCCACCTTTGATTTACGCTTTCATGGGTAGTTCTCGAGATATAGCCATTGGGCCAGTAGCTGTAGTATCTCTCCTGCTAGGGACCCTGCTGCAGAGTGAGATCGATCCAACCACAAATCCAGTTGAATACCGGAGGCTGGCGTTCACGGCTACCTTTTTTGCGGGGATCACTCAAGTCTCACTTGGTATCCTCAGGTACTTCATCAATTAATGTATTCCAATTGCATCTCTAAGGCAGAGTTTTAGGTTTTACTGCCTACACTTTGCCCCAGTTCTAAGCTAGTCATTACGTGTTAATATGATTTGTATCTTGCAGTTTAAGCCTTGAAAGCTGAAATCTAATTTTAATGAAAATTTTTACAGGCTGGGCTTTCTAATAGATTTCCTATCCCATGCTGCTGTTGTTGGCTTTATGGCTGGTGCTGCAATAACAATTGCCCTCCAACAACTGAAAGGCTTTCTAGGCATTAAGGATTTTACTAAGAAAACTGACATCATTTCAGTGATGCGATCAGTTTTCAGTTCAGCGCACCACGGAGTAAGCAATTTCTCAGTCTTCCTCTTTGGCAGGGCCTTAACGTCTTGTTTTTGATGAGTAATCATCAAGTTATGAGATTATGAAGAACTTACGCTTTTTATGTCGCACCAATTTGCAGTGGAACTGGCAAACCATTGTTATCGGAGCTACTTTTCTTGCTTTCCTTCTAGTTGCAAAGTACATCGTAAGTGTTTGTCAACAAACAATTACCTGTTTCTGTAAGTTGAAGAAACAATCTTCTCAAAGTACTGATTTGTGAAACAGGGAAAGAAGAACAAGAAATTCTTCTGGGTACCTGCAATAGCACCCTTGATTTCAGTCATCCTGGCCACCTTTTTTGTGTATATTACCCATGCAGACAAGAAGGGAGTTCAAATTGTAAGATCCCGTTTCATCATAGTCCCATAGATTTTACTCTGATGTTAAGTTACTCACAATCTGCTATTTCCAGGTGAAACACATAAAAAAAGGAATCAATCCTTCTTCTGTAAATGAAATATATTTTACTGGCGATAATCTTCTAAAAGGAATTAAGATAGGAGTTGTGGCAGGAATGATTGCATTGACGGTAAGCTCGTTACTGAATGAAATGCAGCCCGGAAACTTTTGCAATCTGTCTTTCTGAATTCACCTTCTCAATGCTGGTTTTTGTTGTTCATTTTGTCAGGAAGCTGTTGCAATTGGGAGAACATTTGCTGCCATGAAGGATTATCAGCTGGATGGAAACAAAGAAATGGTGGCGCTCGGAGCAATGAATGTTGTTGGATCAATGACATCCTGCTATGTAGCAACAGGTACACAAAGGGCAATGAAGATAGTAATCACGTCTTATTTTTTTGTTATAGAATATAGGAACTTCCTGAACAATTTGTTTCTTCTCAGACAAGCTAAATTCTTCAATCCAATGTCAAACTGAAGAGAAAAGTTGTCTAGATGCATTGTCATTTCATACAAAACGAGCTTCTGAGTGCGTAAATCAACATGGTTCATCAATAACTGACGGACATTCACTTGTTTTTCAGGTTCATTCTCGAGATCGGCAGTTAACTATATGGCTGGATGCCAAACTGCAGTTTCTAACATCATCATGTCCGTGGTGGTTTTCCTGACATTAATGTTCATTACCCCCCTTTTCGAGTTCACGCCAAATGCCATCCTCGCTTCCATCATTATCTCTGCTGTCATTGGCCTAATAGATTATGATGCAGCAATTTTGATCTGGAAAATCGATAAATTTGATTTTGTCGCTTGTATGGGAGCCTTTTTTGGGGTTGTTTTTGCTTCTGTTGAGTGGGGGCTTCTAATAGCGGTATGAAAACATTAGCATTCTTTTTCAGTCACTAAAAAGGATGAAAAGCTCAGAGCCTAATAGTCGTTCTATTCTGTTCATTCTTACAGGTCTCAATATCTTTTGCTAAAATTCTCCTACAAGTTACAAGGCCCCGAACAGCCGCTCTTGGAAGAATTCCTCGGACTAATGTATACCGGAATATTCAACAATATCCTGAAGCCAGTAAAGTTCCAGGTCTCCTGATTGTGAGGATTGATTCTGCTATTTACTTCTCAAATTCCAACTATGTTAGAGAAAGGTAAACTTTTCTCTTTTATCTTTCCTATAATCTTGGCAGTTAAGTCAATTTTTGTTTTTGTTTTTTCCATTTAACAGTTCAAATGATACATTTAAACAACGAATTAAGGTTATCTCGAATCAGAAGCTGAAAACTTGCTTACCTCCCAATAATCTTATTATACAGGATACTAAGATGGTTGACTGATGAAGAAGAGCATCTGAAAGAAGAAGGGCTTCCTGCAATTCAAGTTCTTATAGTCGAAATGTCACGTAAGTCATCTTAAGAAACTAGTCCATCGTTACTCTGCAGATGTAACTTATGCAAATCATGTTACTTTGTCCTAAACTTGTTTAAATTAAGAGAAATATTTTTTATTCTCCTTCTGCAGCTGTTACAGACATAGACACAAGTGGCATACATGCTTTGCAAGAATTGCATAGCAGTCTCCAAAAGAGAGGAATTCAGGTAATTATTCAAATGCATTTTGAACCTAAATTCAATGCAGACAGATATGATATATAAGGTTATTACATCAACTAAGCTCTCTCTCTGTCCCAAAATGATTCTCGTATAAAAAAGGAACAATCATTTTGGGACGGAGGGAGTAACGTCTCTATTGCAATCAAATTAAACTAACCTGAGAAATTTGTTTGTTCTTGTGTTTCTTTGAAACAGCTGGTACTAGCCAACCCTGGAAGAGTGGTGCTTGACAAATTACATGCTTCTAACTTTGTGAGTTTGATTGGGCAAGACAAGATCTTTCTCACAGTAGCTGATGCAGTTCTCACTTGTTCACCAAAACTAGTGGAAGAGGTCTAAAAAAGCCATCTTCTTTATAAGTGTAAATAGAAATGGAATTTTAATCATAATGTGAGATGTATTCATTCATATAGAGAGATCAGGCCTATCTTGATGATGCTGCAGGCCATTTCTGTAATGGATTGTGGGGATCAGTAGAAAAAAGTAAGTTATCTGTAGTGGATAGTGAAATCTTGTCTAAAATCAGAAAAAAGCGCTAGTAAGAAAAAAGAGATGCAAATTGCCAATTTCTTTGTTTCCTTCTATTCTTGCCCTATAATTTCTGTTTTAAAACTTCAAAGAATAAAATATGACAAAGTGCTATATACATTCATTGTTTCCAATGAATAAAAAAAAGGAATGTATTTGCATACACTGGTTCACCCCACAAAGAGAATGGTCGGTGGGCTGGCCACAGACCTTAGTTTGGCTCTTTGGGATCCAATCTCAGAGTTCAACAATTCTAAAAGATTATAACAAATGATGTTGATTAATTTCTGTGTAATAAAAGATGAAAACTTTTCTTGATTTTACAGTAATATTTTTATTTTAAACAGATGCAAAATATTGAGATTTCTGGTTCCCTTTACTTTTATTTATTATATATATTTACTTTATATAATTCGTTTTAAGAATTTTATTTTTTACATTTTTGTACCAGTCAGACTGTCACTTTACAATTCCAACGGAGTATGAACTAATTTCTCATACATATCAATCATTAGTATAATACGTAACGCATGTTGATTGATTTTTTTTTTTTTAATATATGTCTGTGAAAATGGAATATTAATAGCATCTCCAACGCGTCCGCCCAGCGGGCACTCTAACGCGCTCCGCCCTCCTTCAAATGTGGCGGAGCACTGTTCACCTGCTATGAAGCGGGTGAACCTTCTTTTTTTTTTTTTCCCTAAGTTTGGGCTGAAATGTGGGTTTTTCATTGGGCTTATTTTTCATTTGGGCCATTTAAAACATTTAAGACTTTTTAGTTGGGTCAATTTGGTCCTAGTTATACATTAATTAGTTTAATTATTGTAATTTGATTATATATTTGTTTTTAATTAATGTTAATTAGTAGAATTAAAATTCAATAATTATAATTTATCATTTTAATGAGAGAATTTACGTCTTAAAAGCAAATTTATGTATGTGTAATTGTATGTTTTAATAGGAAACATTAATAATCATAATTATAATTTTAATTAATGAATTTAAATCTTAATAGTAAATATAAATGTGTGTATTTTAACATGAACTAAGATACCATTGTTGATTTATTATAAAATCATAAGACACATTATTATTAATAAATCACATAAAAATAAACTACAAACAATCAAAACAAATACATTATTTTAATTATTTATAAACTTAAATTATACAATAAGTACAAATAAAGTACATCATTTAAACTCACAAAACCAAACACCAAAAACACAATAACGATAAATTCGGCCGTCATTCTAGATTTCATTGTAATATTAGCTGTTGGATTGATTTTTATATTATCTTTCTTATCTTCTTCTTATCTAATTTACAACCATTGGATTTTTAGAATGTGTAGATATATTATAACATGGATTAAAAATACATAATCAATATTACATAGAAGAAACACTACAAACAATCAAAACAAACACGTTGTTTTGATGACAAACTTAAAATTACATAATAGAAATTAAAAGAAATACATCATTGAAACTCACAAATAAAAACACTACGACAATAAAAATAACAATTAGGAAACTAAGCATTAATACAAACGACAAGTAGACGGTTTCACAAATTAATTATCATCACTACCATAATAATCATTCAAATTGACTCCACTATGTCCAATATCATTGAGAAATCCAAATTGTCCATCGTTTGATTATGTGCCAAACTGTCCCATGTTAGACGATGATTGTCCTTGAGATTGCTTTTCTTGTAAATTCCTTGCTTGTATAATTTCGAGCTGCTTTCTTTCCCAATATCGACGAACCGATACATTCGGAATAGAGTTCAAGTCCATCATCAGTACTTTGTCCTCTTGTTGTTTTTTTTTGTACTCCAAATTTTGTTTTTGTATTTCAAGTTGTTGGTTTTGGCGTTCATCTTGTGCCTTCATAAAATCAAGCATAGCATCAGTTTTTGCATTAAAAGTACTAAACATCTTACTCAAATGGTCTTCTGTTTCCTTCTTCAGTTTGGCTTTCTTCACTCCCATCGGGCGTCGAGACGATGGTCCACTTTCGCTACCACTATCATAGCTTTGTTCAGGATTAAGAGATGACAACATTGGAGACTCGGGTGTTGGTTGTATGGGATTAGGATTTTTGGATTCCGACGAGTCGTTGATTGTAGTACACTCCCGAGAACCATATTTTGGTTGAGGGACATTAAATTTGCCAAAATTTTGTAGCAAATCAAACATATGGCCAAACTTGAACCCGATTTTAAATTTTGTTGTCTGAATAAATAGCTCTTCGACTTGTTTCATCTACAAAAGAAAAACAAAATAAGACTAACATACATAAGATTCTTTCAATAATAGCACATTACGATTAAAATGAAATTGAAAACTAGAAAAAAAATAAAAATTATAAACTCACCCGATCTCCGAGTTGTGTCCCACTAGGGTTGCGATTCTCGATCTGTTGTAAACATCCATTAAACTTCTTACAAATACCTTCAATTATATGAATGCGAGATTCGCATGATCTAAAACTTCCTTCTTCCATGTCAATCTTCTTGTTCTCGTTATATGCGGAATTTACTCTCTCCCAGAATGTTTGTGCTTTCTGCTTGTTTGAGTCAATTGGATTTTCTGAAATATGGATGTAGCCAACCTACCTGGGGGGTTTCGGTCCAGGCCATAGAGTCATTCATCGTGATCGAGAAGGTGCAGATCAAACTTTGTACCAACATTACTTCAGTAACAATCCCACCAACGACGCGGACACTTTTCGTCGAAGGTTTCGCTTGGCTCTCACTCTTTACGAGCTTATTGCTAAAGCAGTAAAAAATCATGATAGGTATTTCAAAAAGCTCAATGATGCTCTTGGTAGACCTGGACTCTCAACAAATCAAAAGATAACGTCGGTATTGCGTCAATTGGCGTATGGTGTCCCGGCGGACCAGACTGATGAATATCTTCAAATTGCCGAGTCAACAGCAAATGAATGCTTAAAAAAGTTTTGTCAGGTAATCGTAGAAATTTTTGGCTCTCAGCATCTGAGGGCACCAAATGCTGCTGATATCGCTAGGCTGCTTCATATTGGTGAACAACGTGGTTTTCCAGGTATGTTGGGTAGCTTGGACTGTATGCACTGGCAATGGGATAAATGTCCTAACGGATGGGCTGGCCAATATAGTGGACGTTCTGGACATCCAACTATCATTTTGGAAGCTGTAGCGGATTATGATCTTTGGATATGGCACGCGTATTTCGGTATGCCAGGTACTAACAATGACATTAATGTGTTAGAAGCATCTCATCTAATGTCTAATCTTGCAGAAGGTATTGCTCCTCCGGCTAATTACACTATTAGAGGCAAACAGTATGATATGGGTTATTATTTAGCTGATGGTATATACCCCAAATGGGCTACTATAGTACAGTCATTTGCAGCACTAACTAATCCCATGCAACAATATTTTAAAACGAGACAAGAAGCATGTAGAAAAGATGTTGAACGTGCATTCGGAGTTCTGCAAAGAAGATTCGCTATTATCGCAGGTCCCGTTCGTTTATGGCAAAAGGAAGTGCTTCATGATATAATGACAACATTCATTATTCTGCACAACATGATTATCGAAGATGAACGTGATCTCAGTACACCAATTAGAGATAATGTGGAATTTCCTACTTCAAATGTTACGCTAATGCCTCGTGAGGGAGACCGCTTTGAATAGTTTCTGGCACGGCACAGAAAAATCAAAAACAGGAAGGCACACTTTGAACTTCGTGATGCTTTGGTTGAGCATACGTGGGAACAATATTCTCATAGTAATAATTAGTGTTATTTTTTTTTTCTCCACAAAATATGCATTTGTATTTTCATGTGTGTGTTGTTAAATTAATGTTTGCAATATTTTTGACTTGTATTTGTTATGTATTTTTAATGATTTAAATGTAATATTAGTAATGGTGTTTTATTATTATCATTGAGCCAAATGTTTTTGTTATTTTATTATTTGTAATTTTATTTATTTGGCATAATATATGGTGAAAAAATTACTATTAATTAATTACATAAAAATTATATAATTTAAATTTAATAATTAATATTACTAATTATTATTTAAACTAACGATCATATGTGTAAATTATAAAATTTCTTAAATGTAATTTATTTTAGTAATAGAATAGAATAAAATACAAATAATAAAATTTAATTTTACAAAAAAAAATAGAATATAAAATAATAATAATAGAATATACTGAGAATATTCCTTTTAGAGGGATTTTATAGAGGGAATGGATTGGAGATGCTGACACTGTTTAACTGTAAAAGTAGTGGAATTTCACTGTTTCAATTCTAAATATAGAGTTTAGAGGAGCTTTGGGTTGGAGATGCCCTAAGCAATTGGGTCAAGTTTCGTTCCCATTGCAATTGATAGTTGAATAGGTATTGAGGATCGATTTTTTGTACTCTACCCAAAATCTAATCAAAAACCTTTTTTTAAAAAAAGAAAATTCAAGAAGTAAGTCTCAAATTACTTATTGTTTGTAATAATAATATTAAATATGCTACCAGAACCAGTAAATCAATAAAAAGCTACTTGTTTCTCAGTGCACATAATTACACTAGGAAAAGAATACATCACCGTGCAACAGACATGACCGGAACGACAAAATTAAGGAACAAAAGCTGACTTCTTCAATTACCAAAAAGAACAAAAAAAAAAAAGAAGAAGAAAAGAAATAACAGAAGAAGAAGAAAGAACAACGAAAGTTTAATATTGCTAATTAAGGACCAGATTCATTTTTGAGTAATCTTGCTAATTAGCTGGTAAGGAGGAACATAAAACCGTAGGAGGAGTTGAGGAGAAATTGACAAAAGAACATTACAAAAATATTTGCGTATTCATATTCGTTGCAAATTAACAATTATTTTGAAACGAAAAGAAATATTATAAAATTACGGATACACAAAATATAGCAGTACACCTAGAAAAGATATTCATCAGAAAACATTTTTAACTGTACATACTTTACAATTTTACACATTCCTATGATATGTAATTATGCATTGTTATACCAAAAGAAGCATTTTAAGGGAATGAACTGCCGAATTTTTGTCCGTAATTATTCTTGCTTCACAAGCGACGACCTAAATGTCGTAAAAAATAAAAATAAAAATAAAAAATTCAATTGGTAGATTTTACACACTTTGTTTCTTAATCGTTTGTAATTGGCGGTGTCCGTCAACACAAACGCCTAGAGATGAGTTATATGTTGTCACCAATCAAATGAGAAGGTGAAATGAGCAAACAAACGAACACAAAATGATACCTAATTTTAGTGCGATTTATATTAAACTAGAATTTTTATGGCGCGACCAGTTCAGTATTTGAGTATTTTGAATATTATTTTCACCTCTAATATGTACTAAATGTTGAATTTTAAAATAATGGAATAGACAGAAACACAGTAAAAAAAGAATGTTCACATATAATGTACCAAATTCTGCTTCAACGTAATTATATATGAGGCTTTAGCACGTAATTTAGAATAATTAATCCTCATGAAAGAGAAAAAACAGAGATAAAAATTTTCCTTACTTTGATTAAGACAGATTCCCAATCTTACTCAAACTTTAAATAACCTAACCTATTTTCGAGAAGCACACGAAGAATAAAAAATCAGAAAATTTTGGGCGGAGGAAGATTTGTAGGAAAGGATGGGATGGAGAACAGCCGAAAAAATTGGCAGTAAAAATAGACGCAAAAAATAACATTTTAATTGTTAACATCGGGTAGTAAACGCCGTCGTTTAGCCCGTCACATTAATTAGGTCATCTCTCTCGACTAATGACATTGTGGTTGGCAAAAGAAGAAAAATAACTTTGTTAATTGACTTTTGTAGCCTTGTTTTAAATTACTAATGTCATGTTCATATATTAAGTAATCAAAGTGCTCAATCTAAAATTGATGATGTCATGTGAATTGATGGGCCAATCAGAATGTTTAATTTAATTTCTGACCAATTACGTTCAAGATTCTAAACTAAATTAGAGACATTTACTTATGTACATATTAATAAAAATTCAAACTAAATAATATTTTAGACGAGGAAATATCTATGTTGTGTTAATTTCTTCGTCAAGCTTGAGGAAATGTTAACTCTAATCAAATTCAAGTATTGAGAGGGAAGAAAGAAAGGTTAAATAAGCACGACCAATGTCAAGATGCCTCCTACGAATACTTCATAACCTTTTGTTATTTCCCATTCAATCAGACCTTAGAAGAAGATTACAAAATGTTGGACACGTCTAAAAGACAAGGAATTTCGCAAGATTTCCCATATCTTGTGGATTTAACACATCCACACAAGGTTGTTGATTGGAATGAAACTCATTAAAACCAATCAGTTAGACATGTTCAGACCAATTCACAATCGGATGTCCAAGAAACAGTTACTCCCTCCCTCGCCTCTTTATTATAAAGTATTTTAATTTGTCTTGAATATTTTTTTTTTTCAATTAGAAAAACATATTTTGTGAAATGATAAATCAAAATGTTATATAATAAGAATCGGAGAAAGTAATATGTAATTATTAATAATATTATTATCTCTAAATTATATGTGCCTTTTATCATTCATCTATAAATCAATAAAGAATACTATTACATTGAGATGCAAATCATACTTTCTTTCATCCTACAAATTCAGAATTATAGAAAACCCCGTTGCTTTACCAACGAAAATAAATAAATAAATAAAAGACTTGCAATTTCACTATCATTACATGATTCGTGTCTTCCCATATGATTGCATTCTTCAAAGTATGAAAATATTTATTAAACTGTTGGAAAATTCGTGGCAAATGAAGAAGAAGACAAATGCCATAATCCAAGGCGGAGGACGGCAGCTAATCAGAGATTAACAAGTCCATATTAATAATGAGCGTCGGCCAAGTCACATGCAATCTCACATATATAATATAGCACTACTATTTCATGTTTTTGTTATCCACATGCAACTATAAATACATTGCAGTTTGAAGAGATTGAGAGTAACATTTTTTTGATCTCTAACAAAACTCAAGATAGATTAATTAGCAAAATCCCATAAGAGAAAAAGATGTGTTTCAAGTTTAAAAGGGAGCTCACGAAAGAAGAAATGGAGGAAATGAAGAAGAAGAAGAAGCAGAAAGAGAAGAAGGAAAAGGAGAAGAAGAAAAGAGAAGAAGCAGAGAAGAAGGAAGAAGAGAAAAAGGAGAAGGAAAAGAGGAAAAGAGAAGAAGCTGAGAAGAAGGAAAAAGAGGAGAAGAAAAGGAAAGAAGAGAAGGCTAAAGAGAAGAAGAAATTGGCTGAGGAGAAAGAGAAGAAGAAACGTGAAGCTCAGAAGAAGAAGGAAAAGGAGAAGAAGCAAAAGCAGAAAAACAAATGACCCAAAGTTATTATTAGTCCTTTCTTCCCATATTGATTACTTTCTTTCTTATCTTTCAGAAATTGTTGTATTTTTATGTGTAAAGTTTGTAGTGTTTAATTGGGAAATCACCTTACGATTTCCAGGGTGTATATGTTGTTTCATAAACAATTTCCCTCTTTTTATGAAAGGTGAAATTACTTTATCAACGAAAGAGAAATTGTAACACCACCCTTAGAGTTGCTCTAAGAGGAGGTCATGAGTTGAATTTTCCACTCAAATGAAAAGTGAAGGGTTGGCTCTCACCTTGCCTACTGGTATCTCTAGGGGCTTGTTATGACTAACTCACTAATGAACTCACAATTTCACACGCGAGCTTGTCATCCCGGACATGTCTAGTATAGTTTACCTCCTACTGTGATTTGCAGGCTATTACAATAGGTATGGGTTTACCCATCTCTAGTAGGCATGGGTTTACCCATCTTTGATGGGGTTCCCGACATTATCAAAAAAAAAAAGAAGAAATTAGTTTACCAATAAATATTCACTTCTAGAGGTTTTATTCTGGTTAAGTTTTCGACCGAGAAGAAGCACAAAGACACGTAAATGTCGTATGTCCTCCGTCTCATAAAAATTATAATCATTTTTGTTGAACATATTTGGAGCAGCAAGTAGATATTGCAATAGGGGATGCACCAGAACAGAAGCCTGTTATTCATAAATTGTTCCACAAAAAAAATTGAACTTGAAAAATGAGAAGAAACCTACATCTTTTAGCAGTGGTAAGTCAGCCAAGGAACCAGCTGATAAAAAGAAAAAGAAACATTAAGACAGCTATCCTGCTCTCCCACTATAAATTATTTACAGTTCGTCTATGCAAATCATACCACTGCCCCTTTTACAGTCCGTTTACAAAATGAAGTTTTAGGATACAATTTACTTCACAATTCCGTAAGGTCGATAGCTTAAACCTAGGAACATGAGCTTACTATGTTTCCAAGCTCTCCGTTACGAATGTGACTGGTTTAATTGAGTACCGATCTTAGTTCATCAATCAATTGTTCCCTAGCAGAAGGCTCCACCTGCATTGCGGTCCGAAAATCAATTCTTGTTGTAACTTCAAAAGAAAATGGAAGAATGAAACTAAAACTTTGCTATGCAAAAAAAAAAAAAGTACGTATAGTTACCTTCTGTAAGAGGCCAAGAAGACCCTGCGGTAGAGCCTTGAGATCCATGGTTGAATCACCAATCTTTGATAATTGAAGCAACACTTTCTGCACACGCAACTCCTGTAATTTTTCTTCATAATTTCTGAAATCATCCTTCCATGAGAAGAAAGCCTCGTCGTCTGTCCAAGCATCTAGTTTGTCTCCTGAAAATTTGGAATCCAAAAACCACTTCTTCAACACATCTGTTGCAGATTTATATGTTAGCTGGTCACCAGCAGCATCTCTTATGGTCTTTATCAATGAATCCTCAACTACTCTACGACGCAATCTTTGATAGAAGAAGTATCTGGAATCTGTCCAATCTACCACCTTTTTGACAACCCCTTTCGCAGCCATTCTAAATGAGGTATCATGTAGTTCTGCAAATTTTGTTGCAATCTGAGTGTACACTGGCAAAAGTTGCTTTTCACGAGCTTTTATTTGCTGCTGCAAGGAATCGATTGTTGCATGGACTCCAGCACTCCTGGCTTCTTGAAGTTTTGCCTTCAAGCTGATCAACTGCTGATCAAGCCTTCCCATGCACTCTAGCAGCTCTCTTGACCGAAACTTGATCTCTATTAAACCTTCTGGTTCAAGGACATTTCCTTTAGCAGTCCGTTCTGCATACATTTCAATGTGCTCTGGATTGATCTTACTGTCCACAACCACCCAAGCTCCACCACGCAGCTCCCCCATCATAGGTATGTATACAAATACGGGCTGGTCATACGTCCTCAGATTCTCAACAATATTAGATCCAGCCTGAAGTATACCTTCAAAGAGGTCCCTCTGTCCACCTGAAAAGCCTCTCCAGTTTGCAAGAATAAAAAGCGGTAACTCTTCTTTATTGAAATCAACTAAAGCTTGAGCTGTTTTGGTGGCAGAATCAGGGAACCATACTTGACCTGCTTGAGGGACAACCCTTTCATGGGAATCGAGCTGCCCAGGGTCTGCAGGGATGACTTGCATCATAGTCTGAGTCTCAACAGCAACTATTCCCACTGGAATACCTCCAAGTTTTGCCCTCCCAGTTACAACAGTTCTAGCCCAACCTTCCAATGTTTCAACAAAGCTGTCCTTGTCAAATATACCCCCCAGCCAATTTCCCGTGCCATCTAAAGCACCACAGATAGCAGCACGGGGATCACACGTGTTTTCAGGGAGATATCCAACAGGTCTTTCGGGAGGATCCAAGGGGGCCAATAGCGGAAGTGGGCCACCTGAGTAAGGAGGGATAAAGCTTAACCACTTCAAAACAGCTGATACTCCCTCGAGATCATCTGAGACGGTCAGGTGAACAACACCGTTGGTGGCCATAATTTTTGGTCCGCCAAGCTGCATGTGAGAGCTATACACCTCTCTACCTAGAAGCTTGTTTAAAGCTGAGAAACCAGTCAAGATAATGGGCTGATCTAGCCTCTGTATGCACCGCATGCCTAAACGAGCAAGATAAGCACCTATTCCGACAGTCCTGCCAGTCACGTATGTTAGGGTGAAAGTTTCCTTGTATGCCCTTGAGTATGCACTAGCAATGGCTCCACTACCGCTTAAGTTCTCGACACCTAAACCATCCTCTTTCCCCACAATGGAATCGATTACCCATCGGATTTCTCCATCGGCCAATATCAACTCATGTGCTATAACAGATGATCCAATCCGTTCATAATCTTCGGGAGTCAAATACACGTACTGGAAGCCACGTTCAGGGCTTGATTCATCAGACCACCCAACTTTAAAGCAAGACTTTACTTCTTCTGCAACACCAATACGAGCACCCGAATTGGCTGCAAGATATATTAAAGGTAGTTTTCGCTTGCAAGCAATGTCAGTCACTGCCTGGAAGAAAGCATCTTCTCTTGGTCCAAATGATCCGTTTTTAAAGGTTACATCATTTGCTATTATAAGAATTGTTCGTCCAGATGGAAACTCAGGTGTTGACATTTCCATACTCCAGGCTACCATGCCAACATCATTGAGCCCAGGTTGCCGCTTCACAGCAACAAGTGGAGTACCCCAGTTACCTCCTGAGTCGGCAAAAGCAAATTCTGTCAGATTCAAGAGGACTCTGTCATTGGGCCTTCCATTCTCTAGATACTGGGATGCCCAAACCTTCTTCAAGGCTGCTTCAAATGCCTGTTGAAAAAAGGAAGTTCCTTAGAAAATTTATATACATAAATATATATATATATATATATAGTATTAAGTAAAAAATTAGAAAGAATTATCATGCACACCAGTGGGAAATCATAGCAGTAAGTTGTGTTGCTCTTTCGGGCCAACAGGCGCTTCCGATCCAACACTCCCAAAGGCTGATAAGGTGCATTCACAGGCACACCATGCAAGGGTCCATTCTCAGAGATTGAATGGTAGACAACTCTGGAATCCTGTGAATTTTCCACCTCACGATATACCTGAGCATTTTTAGATATAAGAGATATTAAAAATAATCTCTTCTATATACTTCCATCAATTCTAGATACACTATTCAAACTAAGAAACTTGCACATATTCCAATAAGTTCTGCCCATCCTAGCTGCCCCGTCATTGCAATGTAGGAAAATAACCATTGAACCAGGAAAAAGTTGCTGGTCTAAAAAAGTAGTTTTAAGTAACAGCAAATGCACAACTGCAGAGAAGAAATATCAATGTTTGACAAAATTTGTATGCATTCCCACTAACCTTATCATGCATGCAAATAAATAACCTTTGAACCAGATGAGAAAGTGTAGTTCTGGAAAATAGTTGCTTTAACTAACAGAAATTAGAAAACAGCAGATATCTTACATGCACCAGACAAGTGTGACCCGTCACATTTGCAACAACAATCCTCCATGCACCATTTGCTTCGCCTTCAGATGATATCCAGAGCTTCACTTCCCACTCACAAACACCTAAACGATGCATCCTCACACCAGCAGATGAATTGATCTCGCCTGCAAGATCTTCCAAGATTTTCTTGACTGTGGTTTCCTCATCCCCATCATTTATGTCCACCCTCCTGCAAACAATGCCTTTAAGTGACATGCCCTTCATACATAAAGTTCTAATTGTAAGAAAATCTGATTGAAGAAAATATTCCTACTTGTTGTAAGGCAACAGATCATCTATACGTTGCTCTTGTACAATATAAAGGTACAGATGGGCATGGTCAGATCTGACATTAGCATTATGGACATGAAGTTCCAATTCTTCCATTGCAGAAACCAGTGACCGCAATATGCTTCTGGATGTAAATGACAAGGACCACAAGTTTTGAGTGATTTCCTTGTCCAACCCTTGATAAACTGTCAAACCATCTGTTGAGAGAGGCTGTCTAACAAGCGTTCTAAGGTACATCCTTTGAATAGAAGAAGGCTTCTCCACAACAGTGTATAGATGCCACTGGCGATCACGTGATGGCGTATACTGAATTTTGTCATAGCCCTTGAGTTTTTCCTGTTCAGTTATAATTTATGTCAACTTACAGCAAAAGTTTTGCTTCTCTTGAGCTTTTTCTGTTCAATTATAATTTATGTCAACTACAGCAAAAAAATTGCCTATCTTATCAATTCTTCAAACAGTGGAAAAGATAAGAAATATTGAGAGGAAAAATGACCAACCAGCTCCAGGTAGGTGGATAGAGGAGGTTCCAGGTTACGTAGAAGAGGCTCTTCCTCATAGTACTGCTTTTCAGCTGACCAGTGGAATGAATGCCTCATAGGACCCCGCCCTTCATCTCTTTGGATAATGCAACTGATTACTCCTACACCTGCACTTCGAAGACTAAAGCTCACTTCTTGTTCTTTTAATTTTTTGGCCAGCTTGTTGACTCTTTCTTGAGCCTGATCCTCATCACCGCTGCAGATGACAGAGAAACAATCAGAATGGTTGGTTAAGGCATCCATGAAAGGAAGATCAATGAAGCCAGAAACGACAACCAATTTAATCAAAGCAAATATATGTTGTGGAGATGAGCAATAGAGATTTTGACAAATTTCTCATAATATGATTTCATATTTTTTAGGGTCAATCTATTATTAATAGTATTCCAATGTCCTTTTCAGCATTAGATGTGTGCCTGTGGAGAAAAAGTGAAAAAAATAGATTCTCATGTAGAAGCATTATCTAATTCATTTGATTGGATGAACAACATTTCTTAAACAAACAGATTGGATGCTCAATTCAGTTATCCGAATTACAATTATCCACTTCCAATATATGCAGGTGAATTCTTCATTGGTCCAGTAAAGGAGAGAGGTGCATATGTTCCATTCAATCTGGTTAAATCAAGAAAATTTCACCAAGCACATGTTTGTGTTTCATAAACCTGACATAGGAAAGCATATGAGGCAGTAATTGTTTGAAATTACCTATCCTGGAGCATACTCATCTGGTTGTTAATGCCCACCAATGCTATGTGCATCATATTACCACAGCTGCTTGGCTGAACAGATTCCGAATCTGTGGTGGTCTGCAAATTAGGAGTTGTTTCCGGTAGTGCAGCAGTTAAAACTGTTGGCAATAGATGGAGAGACTTAATGATAACCATAGCGCCCCATTTTTTCTCAGAGTGCTTTTCAACTAAGGGTCTTTCTAGTGTTTGCCCATCAGACGAACTCTTTCTCTCTATGTGTTCTTCCAAGAATTCCCAAGAAGCAATAAGACCAGATCTGTGCCACTGCATCCTTACACTACCTTTCACAAGATAAGGCTGAAGAAAATAGCAAAGTTTAGAAAAAATGAAGTAAAAAAGACGAAAATAGACAGACTACAAAATTGAGCCATAGTACCTGGTATAATCTGCGTACATAAGTCTCCACAACCCTCCTTTGAAGTGTATGATCACTATGATCAAAAAGACCAACAAGTGCATCTTCAACTGCTAAAGGAGCACTTACAAGTGCTTCCATCCTTTCATTTATGGCACTTTTCCTCTTAGGTGTGTCCATATTTTCACCGTCTTCAGTAAACATTTCTAACTCAGAGAGATTTCTGGCAATGTTGGAACGAAGTTCACTCAGCTTTGTTTGCTCAAGCAATTGACTTGCTTTTAGGGCCAACTGCAGAAAGACATAAAGGTTCAGACTCTCTACTAGGAATTATCAATCACATAACATAACATAAATAGAGCAATCATAGTGACACAACGAGCAATCATAAACCCAACCTCTGAGTAATTTGTATGGTTGAGTGCAGAAAATCGGATTAGTTTATCCCTATATGCTGCAGGATTAGGATACACAAGATGTTCCATGAGACGCAACACCAACTTGTTCTTTCTACTAATACCCTGTGAAATGTGAAGGTGCAAGTCAGATTTCCTTTGTGTTGGGAAAACTGTAGACATCAAAACTTGAAAACTTGAGTATCTTAAGTACCTGATGTGAAAGAACAATGTCCACGACCTTTAAGAGATCTTTCTTATGCTGAAGCCGAAGCCTTTCAATTACATCAGCCTGATGGAAAATGGTAAAACTTCACCTTAGACCCCTTAAAGTTGCGTGAATGTAGCATCAAATTAAATTTCTGGTCCCATGAGAACTAACCTGAATATTGTCACTAAAGAGTTCTTCAACCAGAAGGTATTCTTCAAAAAGGGACTGAACTATAACACGAGCATGACTCTCTCTTCCACCATCATAGGACTTGACAAGGTTCAGCAGAGGTTCAACTAGTCTTTCCTGAGCGCCTTTCTCTTTGTCAGGGGAGGAACTAAGATGAGTCTACAGCGGAACCACGAAGGAACAAAAGAATTTCTTAGTTAGGATTAAAAGGAAAGCTCTAAGATGCCACAACTTGCAGAAATCACTAACCTCAATAACTCCCCGTAAAATTTTTGCAGGGAAGTCAACATTTTGCAAGCTGGATACCCCCTCATACTCTTTGAATATTGCTTCTAACTGAGGGCAAAATGCAGATGGATCAGAACTACATATGGCAATTGGTGCGGTTAGTGGGACAACATAATTAGAAAAGTCTAAGGGTAGGTAGGTACATCATGTCTAAGGTCCTTGGGAAGCCGGTTTGCAAGAACAGCAAAGCATTCTTGCCATTGAAGGAAAGGGAGTTCCGGATTGTCCAAGCAGCTTAACAAATTCTGCACTACCTGTAATGTGCATTAAGCATGTTTAGAGAAATAATAATCTCAAGAAAGCTTCATGGCTAACCAAACACATAGTTAAAATAACTTGAGTATGACAGAATTGAAGTTTTCCGTGCGAAACACTGATAGAGTTCTTACTTCATCAATGTCGTGCTCATATCCTGCAAGAATCATCCGAGCTGCATTTAAATTTGCTGCACATCTTTGATGAACTTTTCCAGAAATGGCAGTTGGAGGTCCCAGATTAGGAAAACTCCCATCAAAAGGTTCAGCTTTCCTGACAGCTGAAGGATCATCCAGATCAAGTCTTGCTATAAGTTCACCCGCCTATATACAACAAACAACTTTCTAGAGGCCTGAAGTGGAAAAAAGCCAAAAAAAGAAAAAGAAAAAGAAAAAAAAAACACCCTCAAGAAGAAAAACTTTGAATGTGAATTTCGTAACCTGCATAGTTTGACCGTCAGACATCCTGAAATGGATAATTCCAGATGCAGGTGCAAGAAGGGGCATACACATTTTCATCACCTCAACCTCTGCATAAGGTGTATCAGCATCCACATGGCTCCCATCTGGAACCAAATACCTTAGCAGCTTGCATGGTGTCTCAGCCACCAACTTTGACGGGTCGTGATCATTCTAGTCAAAATGGAAAGAGCAGATAAAGCCTCCATACATTGAAACAACAATGTCCCCATTAGAGAGTGGGCCAGAAATTGTAAGTACCTGAAGCAAGCAAGTTCTACCGTCAATCAGAAGGCGAGTTCCAGCTGCTTCCTCCTCTGCATAAATAACATGACTGTTCCCATCCAGCTGCAAAAATGAAAGAAGCATAAATCTTAGTAAATGTGGAAGCTGGTGCTATGGAACTAATAGCACAATTCTGAATAATACCTATGCGCTGATAACTTAGTAATATGAAAAAGTTGTTCATACATGGGGCCAAATCAAAGTGCAAAACAGATAAGTGCTATACCTGCATCAATAAACCTCCATCCCGCAATGTATGTATTTCCGCTTCTATTTCTGATTTATTCATTCTCAATCTGTAGCTTCCAGGTCCACCTCTAACCATACTTATCTGAGAAAACAAGATACTACAACTTGAGACAGGAAACATTGTTGAATCAAAAGTTAAGAAACCAGTGGGGCCATCATTTTCTCCCCTTCATTAATGGAGTAAAAATCAGACATGCCCATGCCACCCTAAAGTTTCATTTAAATCACATGAATCATGGTCCACAAGGGACAACCAACGCATTCTAGTCATTATGTATCTGAACACTCACCGTATATTTGCTTCCTTCAATGTTCAGTGAAACTTGAGAGTTGACAAGTGATATATGCTGCAGGAAGACAAACAGACTTCAAACCAAGAAAACTGAAAATCAAACAAGAAGTCAAACCAAAGCCAGGGAATAAAATATCTCTACCTTAGGCGGAATTTGTCCTTTTTCGAGATAACCAATATATTCTGAGACCACGGCTGCACTACTAGTGGAAGCTTGCTGAGTTTCAAAAAATGGTAGATGAAGAGAATGAAAATTTTGCCAGTTTGTAAAACATATTTCAAAATGAAGAAATGTTGAAATAGCCAAACTCACGTAAAGAGCGCCTCCCACCACAGAAAGATACCAAGGCGGCCTTTCTGCTCTAACCCTCATAGCAATTCTACTGTCCAACCAGCCAGTATGTATTTTATTGTCTCTATAATCCGCAGCCTAAAATAAAGAATTTAAAATAAGTTTACCACTATGAATGCCTGAATAAGCAATGAATTTTGTTCCTTCATGAAGAAGCTTACATTTAACAGATCAATTGTATAATCAACATTTGTTCGAATCTCTCCTCGAATGTGCAATTCCTTCAACCCAAGAACCATGTTTGCAATTGCAAGGGCTCTTGACTCTCCAAATGCAAAAACATGTCCTGAAAGATAATACAACAGATTATTATCAGAAATGTCAATATGATAGGTCCAATACTATTACTCTTAGTATTGTCCTGAAAAAACAGGACAAAAAGTGAAAGATTATAAAAATTCTTGGACTAAACTTTCTCCGAAGTACTCACGTACCAAATTGAGAATCAGAAAATTCGTGGATGCCTCCTCCAGACTGCACCCAATCAGTTTTTGTCAGAGACTCTTCAACACAAAATTAAAAGTTGCAGAATAACAATGAAATACCTTGACAGAAAAGTATGCCCACACATTTGGCTTGCTTTTAAAACTCAGCTCCTACAAACAAAGAAAAACCAAAAAAAAAAAGAAACTGATCGACCATGTACTTGTCAAAACTAAAAGCATCAAAATCTCATAGAAAAATATATCAATCAAGATCAAGCATTTCTAACCTGAACTTTGCCACTCGTAGGCTTAAAGCCATCATCAGGATCTTCACTTGTGACACGTACAGCTACACAGTGACCTTTGGGTTTCGTGGACTCTGCTTTATCAAAATCAAATGGAGTAGCAAGAACTGATGTTCTCTTCCAAGCATCATACCCAGCACCATGTTCCATCCCATAAAAACGCCTTATCTCTGGTAAAGTAAGGGAAAAGAAATACATTGAGAAAGATGGTATATGGAAACAAACTGTGTTTTCAAGATTCTGTAGAGGTTTTGCACATGCCTGGAATTTGCCACAGGGGGATGCCCATCCCCACAGCAACTTGGGCTGCTGGCAGATTTATTTCAGCTATCCACTCAGTGACAGGGTGCTCCACCTACATGGCAAGGGAGTAATAAGAGCTTATTCACGGACTCCAACTGTCAAGACGCAGTTAGATCATTTATCAGGAAGGAATTATGTAAGTGACTGTCAAGGAATAGTTTGTGGAACCTGCAACCGTGGGTTTAGCTCCAAAAAATAGTACTCCCCGGTGTCCATACTGTACAGGTACTCAACTGTGGCTGCTCCAACATAATTTACGCATTTGGCTAATCTTCTTGCCGCCTGTTCAAGTTGTTTTACCGTCTCCAAAGGAGCTACGGTGATCGGACCTTCTTCAATAATCTGACCACAGGAAAAGTACCATCAAATTTGACAAGAATACCCTTATAATTCTATAGTTTAAATATTTCATTTCTTTTCCTTTTTGTGAGCATATCTGTGAAATGTGTGTGAATGATATCGCTACAAGAAGTAATAAATGTTCAGCATATCAAATAACTAAATGGAAAAAGTAAAAGATCGCATTTCCTTTAACTTCAGAAGATACAAAGGGCCCTGTAACTTATCAAGCCATTCCAGCAATTGTAAAGAGATTTAGATGAGAATGACTAAATTTATCCAAACCTTTTGGTGTCGCCTTTGAACACTACAATCACGGCTGTGCAGAGCTGCAACATTTTGATATTGATCACAAAGCAACTGGACCTCTAAATGCCGGCTCTAACAACATTGAACAGCATACAATATCAGAACTGACTTTTTTTTTACCTCTACAAGACAAATATGCTGATCTGCAGTATGAGCAATCTTACCTGGGAAGCAACCTTCATAATAAATATTGGTGATCCTGGAACTTCACCTTGAACTTGTTTGAACAAGGCCTTTACTTCATCATCATTATGGACCTACAATTCCCAACAGAACAATAGTTGATTGACAATGTCTTCAAATAAAATGGCAGTTGAGCATCAGAAGTGTTCATTATTGAAGATTAAGTTGTGGGGACCTTTGACCATTTTTGCGAGAACCAATCATGAGTAACTATACTTCGACTAAATTAGCAACTAAAAACAGTCATATAGGACGACAGAATCAAAGAACCGATAACTCATTTGTACATCACGAAAAATACCTTTCTGATGCCTTTTCCACCACCACCCCAAGATGCCTTTATCATTGCTGGGTAACCAACAACTTGACAACTAGCAATTGCTTCTTCAGTGGTATAAACACATGCTTTACTATACAGATCCTCAGGGATAGAGTCAGAGCAGCTTTCTGGAGGTATTTTCACCTGAAAAATGCAATTTGTAACTAAGAATAACTCCAGCTAAAAATAGTAAACTCATCAACCCAAGTACCAAAGATCTTACATGAGAACCACTCCATGGAAGTGTAGGTACATCAGCAGCCTGTGCAATCAATGATGAACCAATTTTATCTCCCAGAGCAGCCATAGGCGCAGCTGGTGGCCCAAGAAATATGATGCCTTTTGCAGTTAAAGCATCGGGTAGTTCTGGATTTTCTGATGCGTGACCCCATCCAGGCCAAACAGCGTCTACACGTGTACTCTCTGCCATCTAGGAACCAGAAGTATGCATAAGAGAAATTTAGATATTCTGGAACAAATTCTTTTATCCTAAAAGATTTCCAGATGATCCGTTGCAGTTCTATACATTAATATCAGTCTCTAAAGCGTTTTAGACTACTTCCATTATATGATTTTACATTTCCCCAAAATTTATATTTTAAATTTTATATTTATAAAAACGCTTCAGATCTCCCGAGTCAAAACCACATTCCTCTCCGTGAGACCCAAAGTTCAGGAAACACAGTAGAAGAATCACAGAATCACCATTTTCAAATTATTTCGATATCAGAAGAACTAATTTAGCTACCAGTTAAAAATCTCAATTAACAAATTGAAGAGCATTCAAGTATGCTCAAAGCATTTCCACATGCTCTACTGAGATATTGAACACATAGAATGGAAACTGTAGAAACAAACCTCAACTATCAGCTGAACGTTAGCATAGTTATTGTTGTTAGTCCCGCCTGGGACTTCCACAAACTGATCAGCTATCCGAATATGCTCTGCATTTATTCTCATATCCTCTGGTGTAGCCATTGCCACCAACAAAATTGCTTTCTCTGACCCAAATGTCTCATAAGCCCATGTTCTGATACTGCGTATAAACTTCACAGCAGCCATTCCATTGTTTGCAATCAAGATACTATGGATAGGTCTCTTTCCTTTTAGGGCAAAGCAAAACTCGTCAACTTTTGATGCAATACTGGGAGACCGTAACTGTATTGCTCCATTAATGTACCCATTACTATGACTAACACCAATAGGCTGCCTCTGGGCTTCTGACATGTTGCACCAACTGAAATAGAGCAATCAAAACATTTCCATGTTATACAGAGTTATCATGCATAAATGCCCTCAAATCAACTTCATTGAGAACATCACCAAAATCACCATAGGCAGCAGGAAAGGGAGCCTAAGGGGACAGAAAGATAGTCCCATGAAAACATCCACACTTGCTCAGCTTGCTAATAAGATTAAAAAAATCCAAAGATCCCACCCATACAATGATTACAGAGATGTAAGTAACAGGAACTAGAATTCGAAACTCAATTGCATAAGAATGTACGGTGAGAAAATAAGAAACCATTAAAGAAAGCCAGTCTAGCTTATTTCACATGCAAGCATACCCAATGGTACAACCAAAAGAGGGTCATCAAGACTACCTACCGTCAAGCAAATTCATTTACAGAATTTCAAAGTCATATTTAACAACAAACTCATAACATAGATGATGAGTATAAGATAAGCATGATCCACTGGAAAAAAGCATATAACGAACTAAGAAAAGAAAATAGCAGAATTCATATCACGGAATTCAAAACGTCCAGTAGTGATATAGTTAGCAGCGCCGCCAAAAAGACACTAATTGTCAAACAATTCAAAACCATTTTTCAACTCAATTTCCAGTACAACAGAACAACCCAAATCATAATATTTAAAATGAGGGCATCTTGGATTCGTACTGAGCAGAAACTCGAATTGCCGGCAGTAAAGAACAGTAAAACACAGAATAAACGCAACACTGCCAAACCAAACTGTGAATTGAACTGAACTGACCTCTAAAAAGGGTCCAAAGAAAAGCTCCGAATTTGTAGCCAAATTCTTCAATCTCGTCAGATTCTGGGTGGCATTACCTCCAAGAAAACACTCCCACAAACTCCAAAATGCCAAAAAGTATACGAATCAGGAACCCAATTCTATACTACCACCCCTCGTCAAGTACCACTAATTATTATTATTCCCTTAAGAAACCAAAAAAAGCATTCAAAAAAGAGAGGAGACAGATGGGAATTGGGGATGGTGGAATGAATTTGATGTAAATGCCGTTAAGTTCTTGGTCTGGGTTTGGTTTAGATTGGTTGAGTGTCTTAAATACTCTGCCCATTCTCTCTATTAACACAAACACGTGGGTACACCTTGCTACCTGCCACCGCCTACACAAAATGCATTTCCCTTTTGGTTTTTTTCTTTTCTTTTTCTTTCCTTCCTTTCCTAAATCCTAACCATGAATTAGCTCCCATCTACCCCTCCATCCCTCGTGTCCCTTTTGTCAATTTTGTCTGAATTTTTTGTTGCCAATGTCATTGTGAAGTTGTGATTAAGAATTTATGAGAATTATGAATGTTCATATATTCCCTTTATAGTAGCATGTTGAAAAAAAGATGTCTTTTTTAACATAGGAAAAGTCGAAATCTTTCCATGATTTGAGCTTGAGGAACTGAGATTTTTTTACTTAAAAGTCAATGTGGTCCCATTGGGCAAAAGTGCAAGAAAAAAGACCCACGGAAAAGAGATTATTTTAAACAAAGATGAAAACTTGCAGAAGTGAAACAATTTTTTGGGTAACTTTTGAGTTTTGATTGAGGAACAAAATATTGGAAAAAGAAGAAGAAATCTGGGAGTTGTGTGGGGTGGCTTGTTTTTCTTCCACAGAGTCAGATTTGTTAGTCTTGTTTAACACTTTGACTGGGGAGTTGGGTGGTGTTGTCCACCAAACGTTCCAAATTAAATGTAACATAATGTTTTGTCCAATTTTTTTTCTCATTGATTGGTTAAATAATAATACTAGTATAATACAAGGGGCAAAAAGGAACTTGGATTTGAGCCCTCTGGATACAAAATACAATGTTGGACTATTCTATCTATCGGATACGTCTTTCTGATAATTGATTAAGATAATTTAGATAGTAAGAGAGTCATGTTTCCTAAAAAAAAAAATTTTCAAAATCGAATGAAAATTAGCTCTATTGTAATATGTGTCTATTCAGAATACTTTATTGTTTTGTTATTAAAGTGAGGAAGAAGAAAAGGGGAACAGAGAGAGAAGAAGAAGAAGCAAAAGTTACACTGTAGTAGTTTATTTTGCTATTAGTTATGTGTTTGTGGATCAGATTGAATAGGCAAGGCTGTTTAGTTTAGCAGTAGATTTATTAGATCTCCAACACCCCCAACTAAAACCTTTCTTGATTCTTCCCTTCTTAAAATATTGTCCCCAAAAAAAAATTAAAAATTAATGGATGACATGAAAAAAATAATTAGGAAAATCCAGTTATTAGGATGTGGTTTGTTATTTGTATAGGTCATATGATTGGACAGCTTTGATCAACCAAAGAAGAAAGTCATCCAAATGCCAACATACGATGAACATTTGTCCTGTTCTATTAAGGCAAAAATGATGCAAAATGAGATTTGTTTCTTCGACTTGATTTCTGCGTATTCGAGGAGCGTTTGATGTTAAAATTTGGAGGCTACTGCTTCTGTATTAAGGAGAGGAAGTTTCTAATTTTTTTGAAAGAGGGATGAATACAAAATAAATTGTAGTTTTCAATTCTTTGATCTTTCACGTGAGTCCATCAAATGCACAGAAACGTGGAATGTAGGATACTTGTTCCATAATACTCCCTCCGTCCCATAATTATTGTTCAGTTTGGGTTTTCATTTTTAGTTTAAATTATACTAAAAATAAAATCTCAAACTGGACAATAATTTTGGGACAAAGGGAGTATTAATAATTATCTTAATTTTAGATTGTAAATTAATGTTCGTGGAACAGGTATTAATACAAATTCCAAAATTTGCAAGAAAAAAAATGAAGACAGCTAAAAATCATAATAATTTTGGTGTAGCTACTGTTTATTGCATAGATTACTTATTGGCTAAATTTCAAGCATTACGAACATCAAATTTAACCAACCATTGATTCTTTCATTGTATTTACATTTCCGTTGAGAATTTATAGTATATATGATGAAAAGTTTGAATATGAACTATGAAGTTTCATCATTTATTGTTTTGGGAAAAAAGGTGAAAAAGAAAGGGTGGAATAAAGAGATCCCGCAGTACCTATTTTTAATTATCTTTTATTTGAAATAAAAAACACCATGCACAAATAATCCCTTACTCATGAACTTTGTCAAAGGAAAATCCTTATTTCTGGTAAGAGGGGCAAAAAACAATCTCTATTTTTATTTTATTTTATTTTTTTGAAATACTAATTTTATAAAAAGAGTTAGAATCATCCAACACTGAGTGATAATGAGTTCGGAGGAGACGACCAAAATGCATCCCTCGGTTTATAAGACTTAGCATAGTCAGAAAAATGATTAAAAAAACAACGCCTCCTTTTAGAAACCACAAATCTCGTCTTTCTTTAATTTTTTTTTTCCTCCCTTCCCCCAATAGCCAATAGGTACTGAGTAGGCACCTATATACTAAAAATGCTGAATTGGGTCCTCATATTGATTGGATTATGTATCGAAGCAGCTGATAAGTGATCACTAACATACAGGTGTGATGAATTAATGTTCAATCGTATGGAAAAATGACTAATATACATATAGTAGTAGAAGTAGTAGTATTAAATTTGCATGGATGTTCAGTTATGGTTGGAGGTTCGGCGCAGGCCATGCATTACTCACCTCATATCAAATCATCATCATCATCTTGTGTCCCTTCATACTATTAATTAATTAAATTAAGTCAATATTCAAAGTCATGACGACTTGGGTCACATAAAATCATGACACTTTTCACATTATCTAAACAAACAACAATAAATAACGACCAAGCCCAGAATTGGATCGATGAAGCTCAACCCCCGACTTATGCCCGACATTTATTGGCTAAAATTGCTAACCCTCACTGAGCGGGACTAATTAAGGTGCAGATTTTGGTAAAAAAATAAAAATAAGAATTCAAGTGTTGACTTTTAAAGGTTGATGAAGAGGGGAAAAGGTTCGTTAGCAATTTGATAATCATGTAGTTAGGATGTTCTAGATCTCCAAATTTATTTAATCTCTTCTCTTAGGATTCTAAGGTGATTGACTGTAATCTTATTTTGAGTATGCTAGGAAAAAAAAAAAAACATTTGTTCACTTGGAAGAATACAACCATCTAAAAACACAAAAGGCTAGCAATCACACTTGATTAACTCTCTCTATCCTGAATAATTATCATGTTTAGATTTTTACTTTTTACATTTAAATATTGAAATCTAAAACTAAAATTTTTTTAAAAATTTTGGACGAAAAATGAAACTTTAAACCGGATAATTATTCTGAAAGGGAGAGAATACAAGCTCTCATAATTTTATCTAGTACCATGATTTTTTTTGAAAGTTTGACACAATCACGAATTAAAGATATTCATTATCCGAATCCCTAGTGCACAAACAATCAATAACTTGCGTAAAATTTCTATCCCAATGATCTGTCTTGTTTCCAAGCGTAAAAGAATCCTTTTCTCCACCAAACTTTATTTGTATGCCAAATTGCAACACAATCACCTGATCTCCACATCACTAAGCCCATCATTAACCATATTTAATGAGCTCCTCCTTCTCGTACTTGTCTGAGGCCTCCAGCCTCAGGCCTTGCTTTGATTTTGAAGTAAAACACCATTTTCTTTATCCTGAAAGAAAGAATTCAAGGAGAAAATTCTAGGGTTTCGATTTCCCCCCTTTATTGATTTTGGAAGAACCTTCCTTTCCCCTCTTTTGTTCATCAAGTACCATGATGTATCACCTAGCTTGCGTAAAAACTAACATCACCTGAATCTTTTGATGTGATTACATTGTGAGGTACACTAACATGTTGCTTATGATAGAAAGTTACTACGTACTATGGACAGTGCTACACTACCTATAGTATGCTTTATTAGAATATAGAATAAAGTCATTTTTATTCAAAGTTAAGGGCATAATAATTCCTGATTTGATAACCAATCTTGTATTTATTTTTCTAACAAAATTATGGTCCATAAATAGATTGACGCCCACAAACTACAAATTCATAAGTATATATTCACAAAAGACTTCGACGAGAAAGAAGATTGAAAGGAGGAATAAAATCTTATCCTAATCTTCATTATGAAGAATAAAAGTCCATTTTAAGAAAAATTATTGAGTAGAGCTGTTGTATCCTGGTTTTTAGTGCAGCAAGTACTAGCACCCTCCTATTTTGGTAATATAACTCTCCTAAAAATTATCTCTCCCTCCAAAATTATTACTTTACCCCTGTTATTGTATCGGGCTGCACAATCCAAATATAACTCTCCTAGAAATTATCTCTCCCTCAAAATTATTACTTTACCCCTATTATTGTATAGGGCTACACAATTATTATTACTTTACCCATGTTATTGTATGGGGCTGCACAATCCAAATATAACTCTCCTAGAAATTATCTCTCCCTCAAAATTACTACTTTATCCCTATTATTATATCTGGCTACACAATCCTACATGATACAGCGTAAATAATTTCTCCCATTTTAAAAGCAAACGGTTACAGAGATTTCTTTCTTTAATTTCTCCCATTTTAAAAGCAAACGGTTACAGAGATTTCTTTCTTTAATTTCTCCCATTTTAAAAGCAAACGGTTACAGAGATTTCTTTCTTTTTGAGTATGTGACTGTGTGATACATGCTATCTCCCCCAAAACCGCTAAAGGAGAGCCCTTTGCAACCAAAAAAAAAAAAAATTTCACTTACGGAAAATAAAATTCTGCATCATTTTTTGCACAATAACTCTTATCATTTTACTCCCTACAATCATATATACATGTACCATGCGCAATTATTAATTCAAAAGCGGAGTACATGTCTACGCCCTATAAATAATTGAAAATCGGAGAGAATGATATTTTAAAATATGAGTAAAATTTGGAATGATACTATCATAGCCTTCACAGCTGCACTCATGAATGGGAAAAAAGAAAAAGAGAAAGAAAAAAAAAAAAAAAGAGAAAGAAAAAGAAAGAGGAGGAGCACATAAAATATCAAAGTTCATCAATCCAGGATAACGACGAACGACCTCAAACTAGACAAGAAGTTCTCTAGGCAAATACTACCAAAATAATTCACGAGGAATCCCCATAAATCTTGGACATAAGATCGGACTAAAGAAAAAAAAAAAAAAACTCTAAAGAAAGAAAATACATCCTAAAATTACATTAGTATAAGAAATGGAACCACCGCCATAAGAGAGGAAATCACACCTAAACCTAGAGGGGTAAGGGAAACTTTGGTGTTAGAAGAGCTCGGATGCGACGGAACTATTCCGTTGGGGGTGGGATTCGCTGATGTCGGAGCTGGTGGCTGGGCTGGTGATGGCGATGGTGATGGTGACGGTGACGGAACATTGCTTGGAGAATTGACTGTAACAACATCATGGCACAAAAATTAAATTACGATGGCTTATTATCAAACATCAAATCACTCGTACAATCGCTCTCTAAGTCTTTTTTTTTTTGTTGTTAAATTTGCGACTATTATCATTCATGAAACACACTATTTGCTAATGCATATAAAAACACATGTAAATTAAACCTCTCGCGAAAGATTGTAATTGATGGCACAAATTTAGAAATAAATCTCAGACAAACTACAACCGAATTTCAACATTTAAACAATTTTTTCCCCAAAATTACAAATTTATAAATAAAATCAAATGCCTAATGCAACCGATCGAGTTTCAACATTTAAACAACTTTTTTCCCTAATTTTTTAATTCAAAAGAAAGGTAAACAAAAAGAGGAAAAAGCATGAAAGAACAAAATGCAAACAGTAAATATATGAAACACAAACAACCACCATTACAATTCAATCTCAAAACAAATTAATAAGGATCACATCATCAACAAAATACCAGGAGTAGTGCTGGGAGAGTGTGTCGGAACACTAGGTGATGGCGCAGGCGTTGTAAAAACTGCAAAACCGACAGAGGATATAAACAACTCGTGATTCTAATTAAGAAAATAAAAAAAAATAAAAATAAATGCAAAACAACAATAATGACTAGTAAAACTTACTATTACAATCGGCTTCGGGCGGAATGTTCTTAACATCACACAACTTAGGCAAAGTTAGAACCTTATGAATGTCAACACCAAAGGCATAAACCATTGTGTTTTCCAAAGCGATGCATGTGCATGATGGATTGATGGACAACAACGTTTCCAATTCGCCACAACATTCATGTGAGGGTTTGCTAAGCATAGAATCGAATTCGAGATACGATGAACAAGGGACAAGATAGAATAAAGCTGTAATGCAACTATTTACATCTTGTTCTGATTTGGTCATATTGCTCGTCTCATCCGCCACAACAGCAGTTATTAAAAAAGCAACACATAACGAAAATTTGATGATCTCCCTCATTTTGTTGTGAGAAAAAAAAAATTAAGCTATGGAAATGAAAGAAGAAGTGAGGAAACTCTATGATAAACCACGAGTAATTGGGATTTAAGAGTATCTTCAGAGATGCTATTCATGTAAATGATAGATATAGATTTATTAGCTTTTAAGATTCTTTTGGATACATATGAGATCCCTTAGTCCGTATTAATCCTCGAATCAAACCAGTTTTTGGAGTCATGCTTATCATAAATAAGAATACCAATTTTTCATCCAATAATATACAAGTAATTATAAAAAAAAAACCAACGAGTTACAGCCGTAATTATTTTATTTTATTTTTTTTGGGTTCAAGTTACAGCCGTAATTGTATTTTTAGTAAGCCTAACAATTTTTTAAAATAAAAATTAAAAAAAAAAAGAAGGAAAGAATAACAGCACTAAAGAAAACCAATTAAATTAGCCATTCATAAAAATGTGTAAGTTCAAATCCATAAGCCAAACAAGGGTTAAAAACCGAATGAACTCGAACAAATCAATCAAACATAAAAACATGTTCTCTACACAAATAGCTGACAAATCTCAATCATTATTCACGAGGAAATCCTCGTAATCTAGCAAATGAAAATTTAACCCAAAAAGAATCATTTCACCTAAAATAACGGTACTAGGAACGGAGCCACCACTGCGGAAATTAAACCTAGAGGTGCAATGGAAATTCCACTGTTAGACTTAGGAGACTGTGCCGGTGCTTGTGTGGTGGGAGTCGCTGGCGCGGGAGAGCTGGGTGTAGTCGGCGCCGGAGAAGTAGGAGTTGTCGGAACTGGAGCCGCCGGTGTTGTTGGTGGCGGAGCAGTAGGTGTTTGGCTCGGTGGTGCCGGAGTAGGCATTGAAGGCGAAGGCGATGATGGCGGTGGAGCAGTCGTAGGAGGCTTGGTAGGAGGTTTAACTGCAACAACACAGTATTCATTTGTCACACATAAATAACATCATTAGCACATAGACACACACACACACAAAAAAAAAAACACTACTACTTATTTAAGCTATATGATGAAAGATAACACTAATATACCAGGAACAGAAGGTTGAGGAGTAGCCGGCGACGGAGTCGGGACGCTAGGCGATGGTGTCGGGACACTAGGTGAGGGTGTTGGAGCCACAGAAACTGTTTAAAAAAGAAAACAATATTACAATTAAGGAAAAATGATACATATAGTGAAAAAAACGAGAAAGACAAAAATGTAAATGGAGATCAAGAAACTCACTGTTGCATTGAGCAGCGGGTGGAAGGTTATTGACGTGACATAATTTAGGCAAACCAGGAACCCTAGACATGTTGAGATTGATGCCGTAAATTGCCGCGGCATGGACGGCTGCACAAACGCACGTGGCGTTGATGGACAAGACGGTTTTTAACGCCGTACAACAAGCTTGATCGGGTTTGTTCGTCTTGGAACCCGCATTAAGGTAACCTGTGCAATCCATCATCTTCAGTCCCACGGTGGTGCAACTTGTGTCCGCTGCTTCTTCGGATATGGCATCATTTCTGCTTGTTCCATCGGCCACACCTATTAATAATAATGAAGCAATGCATAACAAAAGCTTCATTTTTTGGTTTTTTTTTTTTTTTTTCTTGAGAGCTTTAGTAGAATAAACTCGAAAGGAAAGAAGCGAGATGAAGAATGAAGGGAGGATTTTGGATTTGGGAGTTTTATGGAACTTCTAATAACAAGATTGATGGAGTGAATAAATGTGTATATATATAGTAGATGTTAGAATGTAGCTGTTGTTGAGAATTGAGATGTCAAAGATTTTAGATATTGCTGTTAAGATTTTCTTGGGATACATTTTACGATGACTCTTTTTATCTTCCTACAAATCCGCAATCGAAGATCATGTTATTAGTAACAAACAGAATTTGTTTTTTCTCTTTTTTCCCCAACCAATGTAGTAAAAGTTGAAAGGTGCCACGGAAATTATTACTTTTTGTAGCTTATAGTTACATATGTGGATTACTTTTCAGTCATTCATCATAATTTATAAACTACAAACCTTTTAGGTCAGTGGTCGCAGATTACTGTACATTTTATTAATAAAAACGATCATAGACATGGTTTTTTTTTTTTTTAATTTAAGTATAACAAGTTGTATATTATGTCTTTACTACTATCTTATCTTATCTTTTGCAATATCAAAAGAGTTTTGGTAACACTTAAAGTGCTATTAAGAAAATTGAACCTTTCAAACTACGCCAACAATGTTAGAAATTACAATTTCATTTGTAATATGCTACCTTGATAGTTGAAGTACTTATAAATTACAAAAAAAAATTAAAAAAAAAAATGAATTTGACCGAAATGCTTGTAATATTGAATAGTTCCACCTCAATTACGTATATTGTGTTAACTAGCTAGATAGAAAAATATATCCAACTGTTTACCAACATTCCTTTAGGAATTAATAATTACAATCTACAAATTAAAGTGATTTTGACAAAAATCTCAACTCAATTTCACTATTGCAACCATTTACTATCAAGTTAAGACAGATTTGTATTTAGAAACTCATGTTAATATTAGTGATATAACTCTTATTGATGAATAATAACGTTATAAACTTTTGATTTCTTTTCTCTTGATCAGTTTAACCACCTCTTTATTTCTTTTTTCTAGCATATAGAGAAAAAAAAAAAAAACACACACACACAGCTCTTTGACAAGGGGGAATTCGAACAACCCAGACTTTTTCCTATTACGATATATATGAGTCAATTATCACAACCCTTTGGTTCTGCTTAGACCTCGGTCCTAGAAGAGATCAAGTTCAACTTTTTCAGTTTTTTATACTAAGAACAGATGAGTTGTTCAAATACACCCGATTCTAGAAGAGATAAAGCATTTAATTGTCATGCTAATATTAGTTCTCCAATTTATCGAACAAAGTCCAAAGAAGTTGTACTTAAGCGTTTGCACAACATCAAATCACCTGAAAGGCCTTTTTTGGTTAGAAAGCTGAAAAAAGAACAAATGACGATTGGGTTTTCTGCAATGGACCTCTGTTGATATGGCTTGGGTTATTCTATAACTGGAGAGAGAGTAGAGAGATGGGCTTTAAAAAGTGCGTTTATGGGTTTCCATTTCCACTTAAAATTTTAAATTAATGCTCCAATTTATTGGGCCCTCAAATTTCATGCAGTATACATGTCATGGAATTGCATAATTTCATGTAGTAACTGGATAATAATTTCAGGACAGAAAGAATATATGATTTTTTATTTTTTATTTTTAGATCTTTAAGGTAAAAGAGATAGAAAATCAAAGAAGCAAAAGGGAAAAAAAAACGTAAAATCAGACTTTTTTCGATATTTTTTTACCTCTTTTACAATCAAAAAGTAGAAACTTTTTTTGTGGTCTGCATTTTAACTATTACTTCCTTTGTTCTAAAATTATTATCAATTTAAATTTTCACTAGAGGATCATTTCTGGTTAGGAGGAGAAAAAAATTATTCCCTACTACACTTTTGTACACTTGCAAACTTCCAATACTAACTTTTAGTTTATGAAATTATATCTAATCAAATAATTAATAAGTATGTATAGTTGACAAATAGTATAGTCATAATTAGTGACTTACGATTACTGATAGTAGACACCTTGCAATATATTCAAGATTATAAAAATGTAGTCCTATTTCCCGTGTCAATTATAAATTAAAGAATAAATATTTTCGGCATCAAAATAAGTATTGAGATTGAGAATGCAACAATAATATATATGAGATTGCGATGTTAATATATATATATATATATATATATATGTATACGCACACAATTATTTTGGTTTGGAAAATGTTGCAATTGACGGAATGGCTTTAGTTTGCAATTGTTTACACTCTTTAATATACCATTATTTTTCTTTTATTCTTTGGTATACACCGGTAACATTGTTTATATTCACATTCTACCAAAATGTTAAATGTACAGTATTTATAATAGCAGTCATCCTCATTGTTTGCCTTTTCTGCTAACCATGAGTACGAGTTTATATTCATTCCATTCCTACTTATTTGTATTGATGCATGGGAGACGCACTGAATGAAACAAATTCTGGATTATGATCTTGTCAGCTTCTGTCCTGTCCTTCCAGCTACAAGCATAATTAATTACTCTAATTACAGTTTTGATCATTTGACATATCATCTCCATATCTCTCTTTTTGGTATGAAAAATGCTAATGTTCATTTCCTCCCAAACATGATATATGCAGGCCATGATCAAAGAAGATAAAAATTTTCGTTTTTATTTTTTCAGAAATTAAATTAGTGGACATGCATATCAAGTTTCTTCGAACGATGATTACATTATGCAATTATAAATGGGGTGGAAGTAGAATTTTAGAGAATCATATCAAAAGTCATCTTTTGTCTCTTAAAAGAAGTACAAAATTGAGTGGTAGTGAGATGATTGTGCACTATATGCATGTTGTACATGCAAATACATCTTTTGTTGATTTTTTTTACTTCATTTTATTTTTATCCAATGTCAATGCAAATTAAGAAAGATATTTTGACAAGAAAACTATAAGGTCTTGCCTTGATTCAATGACCTTGTTTGGTACACCTATATATCTTGATAAATCAGCAAACAAAATAAAGATGAAATTATATGAAAATGTTTTTCGTCCCCTACCTAAGACATAATAATTGAGGAGCACCAATTTTTATTTTTTTTTAAAAAAAAATTCCAAATAAAAACTAATAGATTTAAGAATAGCGCAAGGGAGACCTCTTCCAAATTGGAAAGGGCACCAAAAACTTGCCAAAATCGGTGGGCCGTAATGTATCCCAAACAAGTAGGAAGCTGAAAGTAATTAAAAAAATAGTGGGTTGACATTGATGGCTGACCAGCCCCAATTGAGGTGCTTAGGTGTAAAGACTGATACAGTTTTAAGTTTATGTGACTTGTGAGGCCTCAAAAGACCCTACCCTTTCTTTTCTGTCATTTTCTCGTTAATTTCTTTCCTTTATTTTCTATGTCTCTTGGAAGAATAGGAAAATAATTGGATGGATGGAGAAGCACAATAAGTGAAAGAAATTACAATAGATGTGGCTCATCGAGCATTTGTAGAGAAAATAAACCAAACCCAATGGTACAACTACCATTCTACATTCGGTTCCACCATACCGTACTAAACTTTTCAATAAAGATATCACGTTTGGTTAACAAACTATTTGTTATTCCGCCTGAATTGTAGCATTTAAAATGAATTCTTTATATGAATATGAATTAAATCAACAAATTGTTACAATACCTTGTATTGGTCTAGAAGTAAGATTTGCATGCAAATCGATAAACTTAACTCTATTGGTAGACCAATGTCGCCAATCATTATTATTTCTTCTAAGATCGCTGTTTCAATTATTCAAGGTACACGTACAGATGACAAATAATTCATGATTGGTGTGTGGGAGGAAATTCCTTGCATTTTTTATTCTATCTTCTTTTCTTTTCTTTTCTTTTTTTTTTTCGTTTTGCGTCTGTATTTTTTTTTTTTTTTGAGAAAACACACTTCATTAAGATTATTGAAAATGACCCAATACCATTTGATACAAGAACAGACCATCTAAAATGACGTACTCGAAACGTCTTAACGACGTACTTACGGTACTAGTCACTGCAGCAAAAAGTAAAATAACTTTAATCATTTTCTTCCTTTTTATTTTGATCTGCGTAAATTAAATGATTTGTACGAAGGTACGTTCTTCGTCTCAGGTTCAATCATAGACATATGATCATATGTCGGGGTTCGGGCGATATTACTTTAACTCTCTTTGCTGGTATGATTTTGCAAATTAAGAAATCTCAATATGATTACGAGTGGATGCAGGATCATAATCTCAATCACAGTGCTGTATATATGATTTTAATTAGGAGTGTAACAATTTGTCCTCTTTTTTTCTTTACCAAAAGAGAATAAGAATTAAGAACAATAGAGTTAGGGCTTTATTCAATTCCATTGATATTTGAGGAAGTAAAGAAAACGTCCACTTGCACAACTGGTTTTACCTATTTGCAAATTGTTAAATGGATTGTAAAGGAAGAAACTGTGAAGAAAGCTACCTTAACCTAAAGTATAAGGCATTTCTGATGTTGCACCAGTATATATCCAACTATCCATGGACCGTGGAACTTGGAAGTAGTATGATTTATTGTTTGACATAGCACAAATAATAAATATATTTCTTTCCATATCATTTACAACTACACACGATCTTATAAATTAATAAAACCGATGAGTATATTGTTATTTGAGTTCATGCAGTGATCCTTAATTACCTGTCAACTAGACACTCCTCATAAACTATAGTTCAAAAAAAAGCCTAATTTCAATATCCATTTTACGAAGTTTTCATTTGTAAATTCAGAAGTAATAACTAATAACAAAGAAAACTATGGAACCAGGAGAACGTGGTGACTTAAACAAATTGAATAGACGTGGAGAAATGCAACTTTGATTCAATTCAGTCCAGAATCGGACTGAATAAATTAAGGAAGAGAAAATATGTCATTAGCAAAGTGATGGGTGCGTAACAGAGTAAGAAAGGGGTTAATTTTTCCATACTTAAGTTTTTTTTTTTTAATAAGCATACTTAAGTGAAAAAGTATACAAATTTAATGATAATCGTGAGTTGGAGTGATGGATCGAACTGAGTCATATAGTCAGCCTAGTAGCCTACTGATGTTTGACATTGATTATTCTATTATGACATTTTTAATTTGTTTTCAATTTCATTTTTCAGCGATTCTTTTTTTTTTTAGTTTTTTTTTTTTTGGCCCTTTTTCTGATTGTTCCCGCGGGATTTGAACATTTATCTTGTAATCTACACCTTTATTTATTTTTTAAAAAATAACATGTACTTATAACATACTACTAATAACACCAATACTCTTACGGAAAACATGCGTAAAAATTTTTTACAAAAATTGAGAAAAATACCATCAATTACACTACTTAAAAGTGAGACATACAACGTAAGTTTGTTTTTTTTTTCCCCCACAACATTCAGTACTTTGCATAATTTCCTATTTCCTCTTACCAAATACTACTTATATGACAAAGTAGACAAACATTTTAATTAGCATAAACAGAAAGATTTATAAGTAATTATTTACATTTTTTTCTCCAGTATGTCGTAACACTCCACTCATACATTGATAGATTCTTTCATTCATCATTATTAAAAGAGCACACTTTCTAGATGGTTTAATTATTGTAATCTTTTCCAATTATATTGACTGTTTCAAGTTTCAACTTTCAGTTTATCTCATTAGTTTGACTTGCGGGATTCCTCCTCCTTCGAGAACTCTTTAAAGGTTAATTCATAACTATAGTCACTAAAGAGCAGTGATTTTTTTTTATATAATATTTCATTTATCATAGAGATAATAAGACATATGGCACCCTTTAAAGACGAGATGATTTCTCACCAAGATAAACTTTATTTTTTCATTCATTCGAAAAACACCAATAATCATGTATATATGGAGCCTAAAATCTCCTCGAGAAAAGTGTAAAAAGATTGTGGTGAAGCTATGAAGCCAAGATATATTGAAACCATGTCATCGAGGCCTTTTTGGCAATGAGATGATCGCTTGGGCCAAGGAAGTGTTAGTGAGATGATCGCATTTGAAGAACGTCTTTCATGGTTTTTTGATGGCCATATTGATGAATTATTTACTATTCTCTCTGTTCTAAAATTATTGTCCAATTTCGATTTTCATTGTTAGTTCAATTTGTACTGAAAATAAAAATTCAAATTAGACAATAATTTTGGGACGGAGGAAGTACTTAGTGAAATGGAGTAAAATTTAGCTCCAAAAAAGAACTGAATGGTTTTTTACAGTTATAAAAATTGCTCACTTACATTCATTAGCACAACTTTACTCCTCTTTTTCTTATTTTTCTCCTTTCTTCCCCCTCTTCTTCGTATTTCTTCTCCTTTCTTCTTCTCCAACTTCAAACCAAAAAAGTAAAACCCCCCATCTTTCAAATTTAAATCTACAAAAATTAGGAAACTAAAAAATGACGGATCGCGAGAAACAACCAATAACAAATTTCATTGCTAAATTAAATTTCATTCACATACAAATTAATATTAATCAATACACAACAAAATATATTAATAGTAAATTAATTTTCAAATTCTAATTAATACTACATATTTAAATTTAATTAAATTTAAAAATATAATAAACATCAATTATTAAAATTACTTAATACTTCTTATTCATTTATAAAACTAAAATAAATATACTAATAATAATAACAATAACACAAAAATATAGTTAACACTAAATTAAATTTTATTTACATAAATAATAATTATTAATACTACTCATTAAATTTAATTAAATTTTAAAAATATAAACAACAAAGATTGATAGTACTCATTTTAAAAAAATAAGTATTGAAAAAATAATAAATAATTAAATGAATATAACACAAAAAATTGAAAAAAGATAAAAAGAAATTCCTGGTCCAAGGTAACCGGTTCTGGTTCGGCTACCTCTCTTTGGATAGTCGGTTTCAGACTGACTGGTCCTCCATAGATAGCCGTTTGGGTCGGCTACCTTGAACCAGAATTTAAAAAAAAAAAATCATTTTTTTAAATTTTTAAATTTTTTATGTTATATTCATTTTAGTTATTAATTATATTTTCGATACTTAGTTTTTTCAAAATGAGTAGTATTAATCTTTGTTGTTTATATTTTTAAATTTATTAAAATTTAAATGAGTAGTATTAATAATTGTTGTTTTTAAATTTGTTATTGTGACTTTTTCGATTTTTTTTTTTTAGAATTGAAGAAGAAGAGAAAATAATTTGAATTTGATAGTTTGAGGAGATAGATTGAGGGACAAAATTGTCCCAATGACCGTAAACGAGTAATTTTTGTAATTGTAAATAGTAATGCCCAAAAAGAATGAGACAGTGATTTGTGGTTGCACCACCTGCGGTGCCCACCCGGAACCGCCCAAAGTGGAATCGCTAAGTTCCATACACTATTCATTTCGGGCACTAGTTTACTAAAAGTGTAATGTGGCCCCCTAGCCAATGACAAATTGTGGGCGCAAACGAAATTAATCAAATTATTTTGGCGGACACAATTATTTTTTTGGGTCCAAATATGTTTTCCCTTTTTCAAGGTTTTAAAATATTACCATTACAATCAGTAATTAAGACAGTGAGTTTGGATTGGAGGACATAATAAGTAAATAGGAGGACCTTGGTAATTTTAAGGGTTGGAAAACAGCATCCAATTGGACTGATGAGTTCATAAAGTCAGTGGGAATCCACACCAATGGATTCTAATTCTTTTGTAAAGTTACTATAATTACTAGTGGGAATCTTTACGCATGGTAAGTTCATCAAGTGCATTTTTGTGGCTGTTTAATTTATGTGTAACATGAAATTTTCATGTGAACTTTTTTTTTCATATATTATATACTCCCTCTGTCCCAAAATTATTGTCCAGTTTGAAATTTTATTTTTAGTATAATTTGAACTAAAAATGAAAATCCAAACTGGACAATAATTATTGGACGGAGGGAGTATTTATCACTATTTGGACTGTCAACACACTATTGTTAGTTTTAAATAATCTGCTATATTCCTATTTATGATGTACAATTTTAAATTTAAAATTATGTCTAATGTCAGATGTCGTAATAATCATTTCATCAAATTTTTAAATCACAACCAAAAACAGAATTAATAACCAAAACAAAATCAAAAGAATAGCTACTACTATAGACTTTAGATATGATTTTGGGATCTAATATATTTTCCTCCCGTCAAAAAATAAAAACAATATCATGTTTGTCGAACTTAAAACGTTACGTTACTCATGCATGGATGAATGAATCGTGTAACTAATCAATTCTTTTGAATTTAGAGACTAATTTTTTTTTTAGTACAGTTGTTACAGTTATTGAGATAGAGCCCCATTCCATTTATGTTGTCAAAATATCAAACCAATTACGTTGAGTACAGAAGAAGTGATTTTATCGTGACAAGATGTGATAGGGAAATTGAATGCTACTTTAGTATTAATTTATTAAATTGAATATTAGTTCTTTATTATTCCAATTTGTAGAACTTCCTATCGTCTGTGTCTCATGTTGTCATACATGAGCAATTAGACAAAGAGCGATTTGGCAACATGACGACTGGAATCTCAAAGGAATCGTACGTACTCATCCACACTGAGAGGCCAAGAAAAATTATCAAGAAACTATTCTTTTTACTAAAAATTACTATTTCTGTCTCTAAATTTTTATTCAGTTTGAGATGTCGTTTGAATTAAAAATGAATAATAATTTACGACAGAAGAATTATATGAAAGTAGTTCCGAAGTTTCACAAGTACATCTCTTGTTCAAACTTCAATACCATAAAAAATATATTAATGTTATTATGTAACGTTTTTAGTGAGAATCAAACTCGTACAACATGATTTTTACAGTTTAAAAATTAACCCTCAAAATCTTTCTATTTAATTCATTCCCAAACCGTGCCAGCGTACTGTAGTTGGAAATGAAGAGACAACTACGGTTGCTTTGGATGGGAATCGACGAATCGTGGATCTCTCTGATCGAGCTCAATTGGGACAATAGTAATGAAGAGTGAATACGATTGGCAAGTTGGTTCTGATGGTTCTTTAATGTACTCAAAATAACTACATCAATGGTGATTTAATTCCCATTACTTTAGTCTGTTCAATCAAATAGTTAAAACGTTTTTTTTTACTTACCAGAAAGAGGGAGCTTAATATTGACCTGGGACTCTTTCGAAACTACAAATCTCACATACTAGTTGGATTAACCTATATACTAATTACTTCGTCTGTTCCAAAATTATTGTCCAGTTTAAATTTTTATTTTTAGTATAATTTATACTAAAAGTGAATCTAAAACTAGACAATTATTTCAAGACTGAAAAAGTATTATATTGGACGCCAATAATTTGCAATATCTTTCGATTTTATTGACTAGTGGAAATACAAGAATGTATAAAACTTATGTTATCTGATAGAGACGATGTTTTTCACGAAAAAAAATTATATTTCTGCGATAAACTTTTATTTCTGACATATCGATCCACACAACTTGAAAAATGATCGAAGATCTCATCGGGATTTTTTTTTTTTAAGCATGATCATTATTATCTTTTTTTTTTTTTGAAAATATCATTATTAGTTATTACATTTGCCTATCAAAAAGTGGTGATTATGTAAGTGAATTTGTGGGGAAAAAGTAACCAAATTAAAACCAATCAAAGAACAAACAAGGGGATTCCATTTAGGAGGAATTGGAACCACATAATAAAAATCATATTCCAAAACTTTGCCCGCCACCATAACATATGTAGATTTATACATATGATTCACCCCCTCCCCCATCCCAAGTAGAGGACTGAAAGAAGACACATTACATGGTTTTATGCATATTATGTAAGCTTAGATATATCATATACAAACATGCATATGGATATATATGCTGGTGGGCATATACATATATTTTATATATATATATATATATAGATTGATACATGATAAATAATTATAGATCTCTAATATATTCCACTACACTGCAGCCACTGTCTCCCCTTTGCCGGAGACTTTGGATCCGGTGACGCCGGCAATGGCTGTTCCAGCTTCCTTCTTGGATGCCATCAATGAGCACTTTTCTTTTCTTTCATCTTGAGTCATCTGTTGTTGCCTACATTCTAGACTGCAGAAAGCACTATCCCCTCTGGAAAAAAAAAAAAAAAGAAAAAGAGTTCCCATCAATAAACAAACTTCTAAGTAAAAGATCCTCAACTTTTGTGTGCTTAGATTCATTATGTCACCAATAATAAAAATTATTGATATTCGAATCGTTAGGTTTTACTATGAAGAAAAAAAAAGAGATCAAATTCATCACTTATTTGTGCAGTAAAAAAAAAGGGTGAAAATAAAGTACACCACGATAAGACCTCCATAAGGTGACCCTCTTGCTCGAAATCAACAACTTAGCTATTTGTAGGTTTGTCCAATCGTAATTATTAATCTAAAGATACTATGATGTAAGAAGTAGATGTGATATAATTTGCTCAAAATGTAAAAAAAAAAATAAAAAAATTGTCTCTTCCATTTTGGAACAAAAACCATTCCGGTTAGCTGTAAAAATTTTGCCTCAAAAAAATTTCCTCTAATTTCAACCCCAGAAACTGAATATACAAACCAAGAAAGAAACAGGTTACCCCCCAAAAAAAAATGAAAGACCAAAAAAACAAAAAATAAACACGCACACACATAGTAGAACTGAAATTAAAAAGTTCATACCTATACATGTAGATATCACGGCCGGGGATCAAACGGCGCTTGCAAAGGGCACAAGCCTTTAAGAAATGGGCAGAATCGGCTGTAGCATGGAAATCAGCTGAATTACGACGAAGATTTCTCGGCCGTGGCGACGGCGACACGGCGGCAGCCGCCATGAACCTTTGATCTAAGCCCATAAAAGGGTTGTTAGGATCAAACTGCTGCTGATTATTATTAGCATTCATAACAACAACACCACCCTGATGATCAGCTTTGTTGTTGTTGTTAATATTATTAAGATCCAAACTAAATTCCGTCATACTAGTTGTTCTCTTAATCGGTGGACGCGGCCTCTTCCCTAACAACATTTTTCCTACGCAAAATTTATTGTAAGACTTCTTTTCTTCTTTCTTTGAAGTTTAATCTACTTGGGTTTTTTTTTCTCTTCTTTTTTCTCTCAGAATTGTGAAGCAAAAGGGAAGAAGAAGAAGCTCATAAAGAAGAAATGGAGGAGGAGTAAAGGGAAGGGGGAAAAGGGGGAACTGAAAATGGAGAGATTGTTGGGAAGATAAACTGAGAGCCAGAAACGGAGGAGAGAATCTGAGCCGTTGGATTCAATGATCATAATTATTCCTTATTTGTATATTGGAAGAAGCCATATCAGCTGTCACTTTTTTCTATGTGTATTTTTTGATACTCTAACCGTGACATAATGTTATACGAGCACATATTGTAACCATTAATTGTCACTGTTTATGTATAAAAAAATGTGACATAATTTTAGACGGACACATATAATAACTATCAATTATTACTGTTTATGTATACAGATCCGAACTCGAGACCAGTTAAAAAGAAGACACGCTTCTTACTAGTTGAGTAATCCAACGATTGTTAGTGTATATGTTAGTGTGCTTTGTTTCCCCATTGGAGGGTAGAAGATACCAATTACCAAACAGCTAAGATAGATGAATGTTAATGTGAGATTCTCTTATTTGAAAGGGTTGTATAATTGTATTCTAATCAACCTTGAAAGAGATAACCAAATATTTTAGTAATTAGATCTCACTTATTACTAATGGGTCATGTCTTACTCAAATTGGTGACTTTAGGTTACGCAAGTCTTGCATATCATTTTTAATTTTTTTTCATGATTATTTTAAGGCAACTTGTCACAGTCCAAATAGGATTTATGAGTTGACAAAGTCAATTATTAAAACTCAATTTGGAGTATATTCTGTTGTTGATCTAAGTATACTGTTCACTTAAAATTAATTAATAGTACTTTTTTTTCTGAATAATGAATTGTGATTGGCTCTTGGGGGGTTGAGAAGGTTCTGTTTCATTATTTTAGTACAGTAGTTTGATCACTTTCACCTTAGTACACATTTGGTCCACTGAAAATTTTCTGATTGATGAGAGAGTATCATATTGGGTAGGTATATATGAAAGAAAGAAATCCATGCCCATTCAATGAGGTGAAGAGGTTTAGATAATCAAGATTCAAGGACATTGAAGAAAATAATTTGTAAGAGAATGTGATTTTATTTTTTATTTTTTATTTTTTTGAAACCATAGAGATAAATAATCATGCAAACTTGATAAGATATATTTGATATTGAGAAAGAATGTGTACATTTCATTTTTTTTAAGAAAAAAAAGAAGAGTTGTTTTCTTAATAATTATGAGTAGAAGAGAATAAGTAACTGATCATTTAGATTTGTTCAGACCCAAAATAATCAAGAGCTTGATTGTTACTGTGAATTCGTAATATTTGTCATGAACTTATTTATAGATTATACAGTATGATAATTGATAACAGAACAAGGTACTTGATAATATTTCTATGACGGATCTAGGAGAATATATAAGTGCAGTTATTATAACAAAACGTCTAATATTTTTTCTATTAATACATGGTCGTAATGCTTATAGTTACATTTTGAATATCCGTCACTATCATAAGCAACAACAGTTCCAGTGATTAATTTAATTAGTATGGTCGAATAATAACTTCAGATGATTATATGGTACTAGTAGTAGAAGTAAAAACAATGGGTTGAAGTTGAACACATCGGGATTTGGGAGGGAAAGAGAAGAAAGTAAAATTTCTGTACTTGAGGAAAAAAAGAAAAGAAGGAAAACAAAGAAATTGTAGCCCAAATTTTAGTGCTAATAATTTGTGACCGCACTTTGATGTAAATTTTACTATCTGACAAGAAGCAGCTGAAATAGAATCTGAGAGGAGAATCTACAGCGATAAAAAATATTCAGCTTTAATTTACAACATTAATCTGATAGAGTAATAATAATAATAATTGAAGTTGTAGTAGAAGTCGTTAGATCTGCTCGTGTGGTAACTGGCCAGTTAGCACTTAGCACTTATTATTATTAGCGTCGCTGGTTTGTATCAGGAATTTATGCTGACACCCCTTGTGTAGGGCCCAACCCTCTGTCTCCTTTATGTAGGGTTGTCACCTAGCTGCCCGTCTGCCCGCCTGCCTGCCCGCTATAAACAGTTTTTTCTTTATGGCTTTCAACTGCATCTGTTGCTACTACTGTACTACGTTAGTGTCCATTCTTTCAAAATACTGTTTTACCCTTTTTCTCCACACAGCACTTATTCAGTTCTCCAGTTCAAGATTTCATAATAAGTTTCTTAAAAAAAAAAAAAAAAGATTTCATAATAAGAATTTTATTGGGTGTTGATTTTTTTAGTTTGAATTACTAAGATGATACTAATAGAGCTAGTATATATTATCAACATTGGTTGGCCTGAATAGGTTGGAGATTAAGTAAGTAACGTATTGAATTTCACAATCTTATGAATATATATTATATTTAAAAAAAAAAACTGGTGGAAAAATTACAGATTAAGCTAATCACAGTAAACGTGACTATTCAAGACTTGAGAAAGTATATAAAGTGAAAAAAATTAATTATAAGTGCGTTTGTGACAATCCGACTTTGCGACAAATAAATAGACTACTACAATGTGATTGCATAAGTCTACAAATTAGTCACCACTTGTACGTCATAGAAAATGTAGAGTATGGGCTTTCGCCAAGTATTTATCAGCTTTTCTTGTGTGTAATTTTTTTCGGTCGTAAAGGTGAGAATTAAGTCCCACTTTTTGGTTCTTTTTTTGGTAAAAGAAAATTACGAAAGTGAAGTTTTTGCGTAATGACAAATTTGAAATCATGAATGAACCAACTCGTGTTGCGTCTCTATATATTCTTCCCCCCCTAAAAATCTTCTGTTAACTCTAATTTCCACTTGTGTCAATAACTTCTCCAAAGTCCCAAGCATATTTAGCACGAAAAATATTCTCATACCGATCTACGAATTTGAATGAATGTCTCGAAAAATTCTTATACAGTATATATTTTTTTCGTCTCAAAATGATACTAGAATAAATAAAATGGACTACAGGGGGAGCTTATGATTTTTGTTAAACTTATTCTAGCGACGAATTTTCAGTATATGCATTCCAAGGAAAAAGGAATGGCTCTTCAAATTCGATGAATTGTGTTTCTCCCTATTTATCCATAACACATGATCCTAGTTTTTTTCAAGAATATAACGAAAAGTAATAGTGTTGACAGTTTAAAAACATTTTCAATTTATGTTTTTTTTTTTTTTTGAATGCAACAGTCTTTCTCTTGCTTGGTAAGGAGAAGACAAAAAAAGATTGGAACAAACAAGGAAAAAAAAAATTCTTTTTTCAAGTTTGTCATTTGTGCCCAATAATAAAAAAAAATTTAGTAATCAATTGTTCGGCATATATACTCCTTCGAAATGATTACTATTTTATTTGGATTTTCAGTTCTCGTAAAATTTGTACTAAAAATAAAAATATAAATTAGACAATCATTTTAAAATGGAAAGATAGAGTATCTCTCACTAGTTAATAGTAAGGATTCACTACAAAATTATAAATCTTGCACTATATTCAGTGAACAAAGTTGAGATTGATGTACACCAGAACATTTTTCAATAAATTAACCAAATCCTTCCAATGAAACTTGGTTTCATTCCTTCATTCCTTTTGGCATTTCTATTTGTTATCAAACAAATCACCATTGTGCATGATTCCTTATTGCAGTATTATTACTAAACCAAACACCCGTTAGAACGTTATTGGACGTTCTATTTTTTTTTCAAGAAAAAAAAAATTGTCACAGTAATTCAGCAATATGTATGGAAGTGGAAATGCGTAAGCAACAAAAAAAAAAAAAAAAAAAAAAAAGCAATTGGATGATAGTCAGTAAAATTGCAGAATATAGGCGGTTCTTAAAGTTGATGGATTCTGTCTGCCGTCACGGATTTTAGTGATTTACGTTTGCCAAATCGAAGAACAGTTCATAACGTCATTAAGCATTTTTCTCCCATCAATTTCCAGATTCATGGTACTTTTTTTTTTTTTTTTTTTAAAGGTGCTCCGCTGACGTTAAGATGCTGATAGTTATTCATAAAAACTAATTAAGTAGTACTCAATAAAGGGCAAAAAAAAGAGAGAGAAAAAATTATGGGATTTCTCTTTTCCATTTTTATATGGAGTTTTAGAGAAAAGAAATACAATATTGTATGTAGTTAACACTCAACTCAAATATATTTAAAATTCTAAAGTAATTAATCTAAAGTTAGTTCGATGAGAATTAATTCGAGTACGATGATATAAAATCTATAAAATCATTATTTTAAAATGCTGTAACGTTTATTTTCAGCTAAGTAATACGCCATATCTCATAAACACGATGGGATTTGTGATATATCACCAGAGAAAAAGCAAACCCAAATTAAGGTGTCTCTTCGTAAATGTTTTATTTTATTTTTTAAAAAAGTTGCAATTTCAGTTGCTTAAGTTTCAGCCACTGGAGTTGGTTTTAGTACTATACCCACTTAAAAGAAATGGAAAAAAAAAAAAAAAGAAAGAGCGAGACTGGAAACGCCACGTTTCGCATCGTTCTTTTATGAAAGCGAAAAATATAAAGAAGAAAAATAAAAATTTATTTCCAATTATTTCCAAAAGTTTCAATTTGTTTGGGTAAAATTGACTTTGGATGGAACCTAGACCTACTACACTACAAATGGACCATTAAATTGGAATTGGACTGATTGATAATAATGTGCTGTGGTCCGACTTTGATTTTTCTGAACAACTCAGTCCGACTACGAAATTTGTCGAATTAAGGTCAGATGGATACAAATGACGGAATCAAATGTTACATATATGCACTTTTGTTCCCGAGGTAAAAAAATGACTGAAGAAGACGAAGTAGTTGGAGGCTGCGAATGATCCATTTTACGTACGATACGAGTCATTTTTTGATCGTCCCATTTTATTATTTTCATTTTGTGGATTGTTAAAAGTATATCGAAGAATTATTGAAGCAAATTCATCAATCACTTGCAGGCTAATCTGGGAAAGTTATTCTTTCAAATGGTTGAACTGATATAGTCGTCGAAAATGATAATATAATGTAGGAATAATAAAGACTCTCGTTTAGTTCCTTCCTAGTTTCTACTTGGGTAAACGGGGAATTAAAAAAAGGAGCTTGATTAAATGATTGTTGATTTCTTATGTGTTTTGAGATCATGTGGTGTAACACAAATAGTTAAGGCTCTGTTTGTTTGATTTTTTTTTTAATAGTTTTTTCAGTTTATTTTATTAATAACTTTCTTATCCCAGCATACCTTTTTATATTTCCAACACACCTTTTTACATTCCTAATACAAAAAGTATACATTAAAAAAACGAAACAAACATACCCTAATGTTTTATTCATTTTCATTGAAATCGGTCTACTTTTTCTTTTCTTTTTTTTTTAAAACAATCGGACTACTTCAACTAATGGTGTTTACGTACAATAATTAAATGGCTACCTCATATATTATTATAATATCGGATTCAAAATTAATAATTAAATATCGTAAATATAAAAAATGTTGGATACATCCAAGAGCAAAACGTTCTAAATGACGTACGAATCGGAAAGAGGAAACAATGAGCTGAAAAATAATCAAAGGAAAGAGTTAAAAATAAAATGGTCACAATATCATCAAATATTGTCCCACTAAATTCAATTATTCCGTGGCTCAACTTGGTGCAGACATTTTTTTTTGCTTATATTACTGAAAACAGTTTTGACGTTGATTATTTGTTAAGAGCATAGGTTAGATGGGCTTTAAATTTCAGTGGAGATTAATAAGACCTCTTTCAATCATCCTTCTAAGACTCCACATCCCACACGTGTCGCATTTGTATGACCAGTAAGCCCATCCAAATGTAGCTTTCCCATACACTTCCACTTGGGCTTGGGCAAACCTCGCATAATCTGCATCTTGAAAATTACTACCCGCCATTGCTGCTGTCCATTCTCCTGTAACATTTGATTCAATGTATATATGTCTTCGTTATATAAAAGTTGGGACTGAAGATCTCGTCCTAACCGATTATTAGTAAGTATTTCTACTATGTTCCAAAATTATTATCCAGTTTGAATTTTTTTTTTGGTTTAATTTGTACGAAAAACGAAAATGCAAACTGGATAATAATTTCGGGACGGATGGATTACTGACTTAATAAGTGACAATGCTACTAGAAAACTAACCAACAAAGCTGAGGGGAAATCCGTTGGTTCGAGTAACTTCCTGTAGCTCTGCAGCCCTTGTATTCCTAACAAAATCAATGTTTTGCTGTATATTCAGGTTGTTAAACTGGTCTGAAAAGAGGTTGTAATAATGCACGTCAATGACCGATCGATCCATGTTCCCGGCGATCGGAAGAAACTCTGTACTGTTGGCATTTCCCAATCTCTTGGATAAGATCACATATGCGTTACTGGTGTACTTCCTCACAGCATCATAGCCTAATTGGTAATAATTGCTCAATGTAGCAAATTGCACGTATGGTTCTCTTGGCTCATTCATTAGTTCGATTGCTCCTAGACTTGAACGTTGAGAATACCTAAACAATTTGGCATGTTTTGCTCATGTTGGATTTGATTCTAAGACAAAATTGAAAAATCTTTTGAAACCGATCAAATTCACTAACCTTTGGGCTAGGAAGTCTATGACTTGCACAGTTTCTGGTATTTTAGAATCACCCCATTCTGGATTTCCGTCTCTCGTTCCACTGTGTGCATCAGGATTTTGTGATCCTGGAACTGCATGAAGATCTACTATCACCTTCATACCGTATTTCCTGCCACGAAAGAAACCCGAAAAAAGAAAAAGATTCAACAATGATGTTCTGTTCTTATAGGTGCTTGTGTAAAAATGTGCTTACTCTGCCCAATCGAAAGCATTATCTAATGCTTGCAAAGATCCTCCAACAAATGGTAAAGGTGGTGATTGATCATATCTAATCCACCATCCAACTGGAATTCTGACAGCAGTTAGCCCGTTATCAGACATAAACTTGAAATCATCTTCAGTGATGTAGGTATTCCAATGACTCTGTATATGTAACATTGTTAACAAGATTATGTCTTATTTGATGTGCATAAGCAATGGTAATGAAATTAGGAAGGAAACTCTGTAACTAGCAAATTAAGGAAGAAATATGGTAGTCTACTTTAGACCATCAATGTAGCTAGATTGTAAATGAAAGAGGCCTAATTAATTACCTGCAAAACTTGGGAAGCTCTCACTGGTCCATATGCGTTTGTTAATTGGTATTCACCAGTTATTTGCCTGACAATATTCATTTGGAAAACAGATGGATTCTGATCTCCCCAATCTGAAGTGTCTCCATAAGTAGCTACGACTGTGTTTTCATCTGGAGCCTTAAATTTCACACCACAAAAAAAAAAAAAAAGGAGTCAGTCACAGATTAGTACTTTGGCTTTGCATTTATGTAAATCATTTCACATTTTGAAGATTTGTTTATATATGTTAATGTACCTGCAGAAAGAGCCCATTTGGAGCTTTGATCCGTACTTTGAATTGATCATCTGGATTTCTCTCAATTTGAAATGTTTCAGAACTTCGAGGAGATGATACAGTTGCTACTACATTCTCTGATCCACTTTGATCATCTATTCCGACAAACTGCTTATTGAACACTCTAAGGTTGAAAGTATTCTCATCAATCCTCCATAACTGCATCGATTAAGACGCTTTTACTATCAAATCCTTAGAAATTAAACTGGATTAATTGATATTCAAACTATACAGTACAATTTTCAAGACTCTGGCGTACCGTAAAAGTTTCCCAGCCGGATGCAGTATCACGATTAGCAACAAGATTCGTCCCGCCGCCATTTTCAGCAGCAAGAAACTTGTTGAGCATTGTGGATTTAAGTTGCACCTGAGTTCCATCCTGTTTTGAACGAAACAACCCATTTAAGTGTTTCAATCATATTGCAAAGCCTTTTACATTTCTTTCCTTCAACTAAGTCTAATTCAAAACTCAAAAAGGGATTAGAATAATTTGACCAGCTGACCAATCCGACTTGTACTAAAAGTAAAAATTCAAATTAAACACGTATTTTGGGACAGATAACCATGTAATGATGCGCATTGACTTTTTTAACATTTAAAATCAATTCCTCATCCATCTGAGTCACATTACTTATACTGTTTCAGTTCAACAAACACGACTCTTTTTTTCAGAGAGTAAAATTTTGGGACTTGTTATTTTATGCGATGAAAATTACACTTTTTTTAAAATACCAAACTAATATCCAGGACCTGTATACAAGTTTGTTTAATGAGATCACAATTTCAGTATTAATTACTCTACCAGGTGGCTTAAATTCAAAAAAAAAAAAAAAAAAGAAGGATGAAAGAAATGAGTATACCAGAAGATCTTTGTTGAGAACGCCATCAAGATCAAAGAGAGAAGGAGTCATCCAGCCTTCAACCACCAGCCAACCACCCAAATTTGCTGCTTTGAACGGTACATCTTGGCTATATACGGTTGTTCCGGACAACGCAGAGAAGAAGAAGAAGACTACCAACAACAACAATAAACAAGAAGACGAATTCGCATATAGATTCTTCATTGTTCTTTCACAATTTCTGAACATCGTATATGATCATACCTCTTCCAAAAAAATAATAAAACTCGTTAAAACCGCAAGATTAATTTATACATAGAGAGTTTAAATAAAATCCAAAAACTTGCCGTGGGCGACGCGTTACAATGGAAACCAAGTCAAGCAGCCATTATATGTGGTTCCTGATTCGAAGGTCCAAATTATCATAGATGGTGAATGGGTTGTGTGTGACTGTGTGTGTTCACATTGCATTTCTAAAAGGCGGTGGTAGACTCTGAAAATTTTCTCCATGGATAGTAATAATTAGTCAGCTGCCTTACATTATTGATTTCTCTTTAATACACTCCAGAGATGCCCAGAAATAGTATACTATGCAACGTAAGATTAATAACACAATAAGAAATTTAGACAGTTTGCGTTTATTCTCTGAATTCATCCTCTTGCAATCTAGCTACATTTCATTTAATGTCCACAACACACAACAAAAGTGCCGTATGTTTTTTTAGCCAACTGAAAGAAAAGAAAATAAAAAAGGAAAAAAAAGGACAATGGGGATTATATTTGGAGAGAGATTTTAAAGCTTAATGTAGCCATTTTTGATCATCCATTCTAAACTCCAGTGGGTTATTCACGTTTTTAAGAGTCCAATATATGCCCATCCAAATGTTCATCGCCCAAATACTTGCAATTGAGCATCCGCGAATCTTCTGTAGTCCTCTTTTGATGCATTCTTAATTACTAGCCATTCCGCCACCCATTCACCTGTTCACACAAATCAACAACAACAAACATAAGCCATTTTGGGTACTACATTAATCATCTTGAAAAGGCAATAATATTAGCCTTAGAAACTTTGCTGCATGAATGAATTCTCGATACAAAAAATACTCACTTTATTCCAAATCAATCGTCTACATTGAATTTTGAAATTTGTACTGATTTTAATAAAAATTTTGAAAAATCATGGTGAACTATTTGTTTATAACAGAGGTAGTAATTACTCTTGCAAGAAAAAACAAAAAAAAAAAAAAAAAAAGAAAAATTTTGTCCATACCTATGAAAATCAGGGGCCCGTTTGATGAGATGATATGGGTCAGTTCTGCGGAGCGATTGGTTTTGATAAAATTGAATATTCTGATCAATCGTGAAGGCAGTGAAAAAGTCATTATAGATAGAGACTGTAATAGTGAACGTCAATTACTGATTTGGTAAAACCACCGGCAAGAGGGAAGAGCTCGCTGGCATTGGAGCCGAGCCCGGCGGATAGAATGACGTAAGCAGTTGAAGTGTGCTTACGAACCGCCTCATAACCGGCCTTGTGATACTTGGTTATATTCTGAAAAGAAACTATTGGTGCCAGTGGCTCATTCAGCAGCTGAATTGCTAGAAGGCTTGAGCGTTTTTGCATATCTATATATTGAAACAAAAGAAAACAAAATTAATTAATGTAAAGTAGTTTTGAACAAATTAACGTTAGCACTTTAAGAAATTGTTGAGGAATTTTCGATTTGGAAATGACAAAAGATGTTCGGAACACTTTTGGTACTATACTTCTGTATATATTTATCATAGATAGATGCAAACTACGCCTCAAAATATTATAAGTGTTATACAAAGTGTAAAAATAAGGTGATATGGAAATGGAAGGGATTTTACCTAGCAGCTAAGAAATCGATTACGTTGACTGTCTGTTGAATATTTTCATTGGTTTGGCCCCATTCTTGGAACCATCTTTAGTGGCACAAGATCTTCTGTGTCACTTTCTTGTGACACTCACTGTGACACAATCCAATTGTTCCTTATAAATTATTTAATTTGTGTTAATACATATACCATAGTCACATATTTTCAATGTAAATAATTTTTACATTCTTGTCTTATTTTTTATATCAATGTTTTATTTTTTTTTAATGAAATTTTACTATTTTTATTAAATTTTTTAACTATGAAAATTAAAATAAATAAGTCCTGACCCGAAAAAAGTGAACTTTTAGTCGTAAAATACAGTATATAAATTCGAAAGTGATTGTGAACGGTATATATATTAACATAAATTATATAATTTATAATAAATAATTGGATTGTGTCACGTTGGGTGACACAAGAATGTGTCACAGAGGCTCTAGTGGCACTGTGTTCCCATCCATTCTGTGACCTATGTAGATCAATCATAACCTTAAGATTATATTTCCTGCAAACACTCTTACCCTTATATAATATTTATGTACATTATTTTGAGCTTTCATAATCATGACAAAAATTGAAACAAAATTGAGAATTTGCACATACTCGGCCCATGAAAAGGTTTTATCCAATGTCTGTAAGGATCCAGAAACAAAAGTTTTAGGAGGAGTTGGGTCACTCGCAATCCACCATCCAACTGGAAATCTCACCGTATTCGACCCGCTTTTTTATATGAATTTGAAATCATCCTGTACCAGTGTTCCTGTATGCATGATGATATATAATTACTTCTTCCGGTCCTTGATATAAGGCATTTTAATTTATCATATGTTTCATCTAATACTCATTTTAAATTGACAACAAAACCTTAAAAATATTTCCTAACAATAAAGTGAACACAACGGATGGTAAGATATATTTTTAAAGGTTTTTTTCCCAATTAAATATACATATGATATAAGACAAATTAAAGTGTCTTTTATTAAGGATTGGAGGGAGTACTATTTTGTTTATACACAAACTCAAGGCAAAACTTATTTTAGAATAAAACAAATTTCTTACCATTTAAGCATAGCAAATAGTACTAAATGAACCTCTAATGAGATACAACATGACAAGAATGTAATTAAGTAAAACAAACTAGCTTATATGTGAAAGAATCAATTTATAGAGGGAATTAATGAGAAACAAGTTTAACACTTACTCTCATTACTTGTGGAGCTTAATTTGAGTGGACCATACCCATTAGTAACTTGTAATTCACCTTGTGGACTGCCTTTTACTTCAATCAAGAAAACTGAGGGATCATCATCTGCCCATTTACTGTCTCCTTCAAAATCAGCACTAATCAATTTCTCTGTGTTAACCTGCATATTTAAAATATGTACTCATTGAGTAGTAATTAAACACACTCTAGGAAGAATTAAGATAGGATCCTCTCCCTACAAGCACAAGCAAACAAAATTCCTTCCTACAATTTCATTAGCTAAGGGAATTTTTATTTTTTTATTTTTAACAAAAAATGCAATTTCACGTTCTTCTACTAAACCCTAAAAAATTGCAAATAGTTGTACGCACTAATGCCATTTAAAGTTTTAACGCTGTACAAAATATGTGCATCTCTAGCGAATCCAAAACACTATTTCGATAGATGCAAAATCTCAAAATTGATATTCAATATACGGAGACAAGGAAAGTAGAAAGAAGGGCCAGCTAGCTGTTAGAGCATCTTTGGATTTTATAAATCCTTATGCTTGCTAAATTATTCATTTTCCTTAAGGCGTGGCACCTAACTCTTATGTCTTGTTTGCGATATCTTGATAATGTGACTGCCAATCTATGATCTTGTGAAAAATTATTCTATACAGCAAGTGTATTCCCTTTTTCAGTGCAACAACATATCCATTATACTGGAAAATATAATGATCCCTCTAATTTTGTGGTAACTTTCACGGTAAAATTACAATCTTGCTCTATTCATGTATCTGCCTGCACAATCCTACGTGGTACATTAGCAGTATAGAAGATTTTTTTTGATGTCGTACATTTTAAATCCCAAAAATCAAGAAAAATTTTTGTGTGTTCTTTCTTCCTGGAGTCTATTTAATATTCATTTTATTTGTTTATATGTATTGTAGTTCTGCACATGGTTTCTCCTTATATTACAACTTCCTCGACAATGAGGCAGAATAAAAAAATTCACTTTTATAATATCCATGCGTTACTTGTACTACTTATATCGAGTTTCACTGGTTAACATTTGGTACAATTACCTTATACTTATTTCCCGATGCATGATTAATACTTATTATAAAAAAGAGAAAAAGAAGGGAAGAATTAAGAAGGGTTGAACCTGCAAAAAATGTCCGTTAGGTGCCTTGATTCGAACGCGATTTAGATCACCGGGTTTTCTGACGATCTCAAAAGTTTCCGACAAGCCGGGATTGGTTTTGGTGGCCACTAAAGTCGTACTAGCCTTGCCGCCGGCAGCCTTGTCTAACCCAATAAATTGTTTGTGAAATACTCGGAAGTTAAAATTGGTCTCATTGATCCTCCACGGCTACAAAAGAAAAAAAAAAAAAGTTCCACGCAACACAAAATCGAAATGTTAGGGATTATTGCAAAGTCACAGCTAAGTTGTCAACTGTAATTTCTATGGAAACTGGCAGTAATTAATTGATCAGTTAAATTAACTAGTTCGGACATACTCTAAATGTTTCCCAACTGGATGCAGTTGTTCTGTTGGCAACTGCTTTGGCACCACCTCCATTTTCAACTGAAAGGTACTTTCCGACCTTCACTGAGTTTAAATGCAATTCGGTCCCATCCTGTAAGTAGACTTATATATCGTAACATTCTTTCCGTCTCATAATAATAACCCCCACTTATTGAAAAATTCTCGAGTGTATAATACATCATGTATGTACGTACCAGGAGATCCTTGTTAGGAATGCCATCGAAAAGGGAGGGTTTGATCCAGCCTTCAGTAACCTGCAGCCATCCACCAAGATTCACAGCTCGAACTTGAAAGTTAGGGTTAATATATGGAGGAACCCTTTTACCATGAGAAACAAAAAATAAGCAAGAGGAAGAAAGGATGAAGAAGCTGACAATAAGAATTCCGGTATAAGAGTATTTAATTTAGCCATTTGAGCTTTTTAGGGACTCGGCTCTTTACGTTGGTCATGTTACATTTATAAGTGGCGACTGCATTTTTGGGGAAGGGGAAAGGGAATTCTTCAAAGCAGGATCTGGATTTTAAATATAGACCATGTTTCCACAATTCCACTAACCATGCGTGTATTGGGGGACAAAGATAAAATACTCTTATCCTATAATAAATAGTACTGTTTTGATAATAAAGTACATAACTTTCTTTTCCTTAAGTTATTAACACATAAATTGATGAACTCGTTAAAAAAATAAAATAAAAATATATGATTCGGTGTCGTAATTATAAATCCAAAATAATCAAGTGTGAATTAAAATTTGTAATTGAACATTTGAACTTCTATTGTGGAACGAATGAAGTATTAATGAAACAAATCATATTATTGATAAATATTAAAGAGTCTCAATCCCACAACGGTGTTGAGAGACTCTGAATATCAATATATAAACTCTATAGACTACTCCTCTTATTACTAATTAGTTTTGAGGTGAAATCTCATCAACTATTTTCACATATTGTATGAAGTGTTCTAACTCAGTACGGACGTAACGGACCATATTCAAATTAAATGATGCTCTGGTTGGATGTAAATTGTTTGTTTATCATTGAGAGATTCAGACGTTAGGACAAAATGGTCGAGAAATTCATGTACAATTCTTTTTTCTTTTTGTACTCTTTCTGCCCCAAAATTATTCTTCAATTTGAGATTTTACTTTTAGTATAATTTGAACCAAAAATAAAAATCTATGCTAGACAATAATTATAGGACGGAGGGAATATATGTATATCAGTTGATCAATTTGAGTTTTCCTCTTTTACAACTATCTTAATTTGTTGCGTAAAATTCCTCCTCAGTTTTTTACATTTTATACAAATTAAATACCGTCACAAACGGCAGAAACGTGTGCTGTTTAAATGTACTCCCTCCGTTCCATAATTATTGTCCAGTTTAGATTTTTATTTTTAGTACAATTTGAATTAAAATTGAAATTTCAAACTGGACAATAATTTCGGGACGAAGGGAGTACAATTTTAGCAAATGATCAGCATATGTCATGTTACACAACTTGATCATAATTTTAGGAATTTTAGTTCATCCGTCTACTAGCTGGTAGGCTATTCTGATTGCTCAATTGTTTTCCACAAATCGAGGCCTGAAGGAAAAGAAACCCATGGGCTACTATTATCCTATAATAAATAGTACTGTTTTGATAATAAAGTATATAACTTGCTCAATTAGTTCTAAAGCTCATGCGTCTACCTCCAAATATTTCACCTTAAAATCAATTGGTAATGAAGAGCTTCTATCTCAAAATTATTTGACATTGAATGGAATAATTTATAAAACTTATATATTGATACTCAAAGTCTCCCAACATCAATGTGGGATTGAGACTCTTTAATATTCCCCAACGTTTTTTTTTTTTTAGTTGGGCTAGTCCTATTTTTTTTCTAGTACAATCACCGCCTCACGTCTTAATCTTATTTTTTATTATGGTTGGGCTTGTCCTATTTTTTCAGTTCAGGCAGCGCCTCACGTCTTAATCCTATTTTTTTAGAGTCCAAATGTCCGTAGACTGACTCTGATACTATACACAAGTCTATAGGGTTTCACCTCAAAACCAATTGACAATGAAGGGAATAGCTCATAAACTTTATATATTGATACTCAGAGTCTCTCAACATCAATGTGGAATTGGAACTCTTACATAATAAAATTCATTTAGAAACTTTGACCCAGCGGGTGAGTGTTTGCCATGAACTTTATGAATTAATTAATTTATTGGATATGTGAATTGTGAAGCACCGTATGTTAATAGCTGCTACTGGTTGACACTTTTGGCTCAAAGCTGGTATCTATGGAGAGTTTTGCGGTCATTGTGAGCTAAGGTTATGAATTGTTATTTACTGGAGTACTTCTTAATTTTCTAATCTTTCCGTCTCATAACAATTGTTTAGTTCGCTTAGGAAATACTGTGTTAAATTGACAACAAAGCAAATTAGAGCAGCTTCTAAAATTAGCTGCTTAGGTTTTCCCTGAATTTGTTAAGAGCTTCCATCTCTGCATTTCTTACATATCTAAGTTGATTTTTTTTTTCTATATAAAATACAAATTAAACCATTACATGCATATTTTTTAAAAGTATAGAAGCCCATGAGGTTCCACCTCAAAATTAATTGGCAATGAGGGGAGTAGCCCATGGACTTATATATTGATATCAACTCTTTCCCACCACCGATGTGGGATACTCAATACTCCCCCGCAAGCCTAATGTCTCTTCTTGGGTTGGGCTTGTCAGCCCAGTCACCGCCTCACGTCTCAGTCCTACTAGTTCTATCACATCAGACTTTGGAGTCCGACTTTTGGCGGACTGGCTCTAATACCAGATAGAAGCCTATGAAGTTCCACCTCAAAATTAATTGACAATGAGGGGAGTAGCCCATAAACTTATATATTGATATCAACTCTCTCCCACTACCGATATGGGATACTCAACAAAAAGTTGATTAGTTGTGAAAATTCTGGATTATGATTAAATTGGAGAGAGCATTATTCTAACATTTAAACATTATTACTTTCAATCATACATGATTTCCAGTTACATTACTACTACTACTACTTACTTTCAATCATACATGATTTCCAGTTAACTTTTCCTCCCTAACACACCCTTCAAGAAAAAAAAAAAAAATCCTCCCTAATACACAGCAAAATTGTCACCTGATTTTGTAGACAATAGAGAAGAAAGAAAACAGATATCTGTATATTAATGCGCCATATTTGATTAATTAATTCTAGAGGTGAATATAGCCATTGTTGATCATCCATTCCAAACTCCAATGATTGTTCACATTTTTAAACGTCCAATATGCCCATCCAAATGTTGCTCGTCCATACACTTCCAATTGTGCAGCTCCAAACTTTTGGTAATCCTCTTTTGATGCTCCCTTAACTTGCCATTCCGCTACCCATTCACCTAATACAAATAATGAACATCAAAAAATCAGCAAAATTCATCACCAAACTTATTATCATTTCAGTTAAAGTTCCAAACATATTTCCTCCATCTCAAAATTATTGTCCGGTTTAGATTTTCATTTCTAGTACAAATTGAACTAAAACTGAAAATTGAATTCTATAATTTTTTGGACCGAGGGAGTATACGATTAAAATGAGCAAGTTAAGGAAGCTACATACCAACGAAAGTGAGAGGCCCGTTTGATGTGGAGATTTGGGACAATTGAGCAGATCGGTTAGTTTTGATATAGTCAACGTTTTGTTGGACTGTGTATGAACTGAGAACACTGTCGAAAAGGCTGTAGTAATGAACATCAATGGCTGATTTGAACATTCCTCCGGCAAGAGGCAAGAGTTCTGTGGGTTTAGAAGGGCCTAATCGGTTGGATAGAATCACATAAGCATTAGAAGTGTGTTTCCGAACTGCATCATAACCAGCTTTGTAATAATTGGTCACATTCTCCAGTGAAACTCCAGGTGATAAAGGCTCATTGATCAGCTCAATTGCTAGAAGACTCGATCTTTTTGCATATCTATGATTAAAATAAAACACACACAAAACAAGCACACATTATGCAAACTCTATATACAAATACAAAATCATCATTTTTCGTTGTCATTATTCGTTTCCTTAAGTGGGAAATATAAACGAGTAATGTTCAGATAATTTCATATATAACACATTATTATCGGGAAATTTTGATTTTTATATATTAAGATAGAAGGATTCGAGACAAATTAAGTATTCTGATTCAATTGAAAAATCTCTCGCAATACGTGTCAAATTGATATAAAGCCGCAGAAAAATAATTCACATTAAGTTTCGAATTTCTTGGACAAAAAGAGTATTACTTTCAAGTAGTAGGTTGTCTCAAAAATCAACTAAATGTGAAAATTAGTATTTCTTTGATGGGATAACGTATATAAGATATATAATCCGAATCAACCATTTAAATTTGAAACCATATAACAAATTTCACCATTCTTTCAAATATCGACAAAGTGAATAAAGATTTGTATTTTTAGGTTTGATTATTTTCAATTTAAAACTAACACATCCCGGTAAGAACTAGTTTACTTTATAATAAGAACTAGTTTACTGTATAAGGGGACTTAATTACCTCGCTGCTAAGAAGTCAATTACATCTACTGTTTGTTGAATGTTTTCACTGGTTTGACCCCATTCTTGGGAACCATCTCTACTGCCGCTATGTTCCCAGCCATTCTGTGAACCGGGTGCACAATGTAGATCAATTATAACCTTAAGGTTATACTTCCTGCAAAATCAGCATCATTTACGAATTTAAATTCTTTTGATAAATATATTGTTTCCTTTATGGATAAAATCATATTTTCCTTGAGAAATGAAATTCGAGGAAGTTGAGGTCTTGTTTGGACAACTTTTATTTTGTCATTTTGTCTCATTTTATCTCTTAAAATACCTCTTAAACACAAATCCCAATATTAACCAAATAACTTTTTAATTTATTTTTAAAAAAAAAATTCCAAAAATTATTTTTACACAATTTTCGTCCACTATCACCGGACCACATCCACCACCACCCGCCACCGCTAGACCGTCCCTTGCCGCCGTCGGACCGTCGCCGGCCCGATTCCCGGCAACTCGCCTTAATTTGGACGGAATGCGGCCGGCCGATCGCCGGTCGCCGGCCAGTGACAGCGGCGGGCAGTCCGGCGGCGGCGCCGGTGGTAGAGGTGGTCTGGTAATGGTCTAAAAATATTATTATTTTATTTAAAATATTATCCAAATAACTTTTTAAATTTTATATCAAATCATATTTTAAATCACATCTCAAACTCAAATAAAAAACTAAAACAGAAACTAAAACAAAATGTTGGCCAAACAAGTCCTATTTTCGCGTACTCGGCCCAGAAGAATGCATTATCCAATGTTTGTAAAGATCCAGCAACAAAAGGCTTAGGAGGAGTTGGATAAGCAGTCCACCATCCAACTGGAATTCTCACTGTATTCAGCCCATTTGATGATATGAATTTGAAGTCTTGCTCCATTATGAAGGTTCTCCAATGTTCCTGGAGATAACAAAGGAAAAAAAAATGCATATATACTTTGCTTATTTGATGCGAAGAAATGTGATGCACCAATAAGAAGTGAATTTCAAAGTTTGAAAATGTCAAGGTTTACTTTGAACTGATGTTGTTTTTGTAATGTGATGCAACAATAATGGATTTGTAATGGATTTGGATAATTTCTTTTGTTGTCAAATATTGACAGTAAGAATGGTGGAGTATTTTGCAAAGTGCAGTGGCTCCGAAAAAATACCACAGTTTTTTTTTAAAGGACAAAATCATCAATTATAAATCTTATAAAAGTGAACAAAAGTAAAGATTGCTCATATTATTTCATTTGTGTCACGTCATTATATATTCCCTTGATAACTTTACAAGAAAAAAGTCACATTTCGTTTTTGTTTTGATGTCGATACGAATTTATGCGTGTGGAACTTGCATATATGTGAACTTGAAAACTTGGGAAAGTGGTGTTGAGGAGATCATGGAGTAATTAAAAGGGGAAAAGAAAATGCATTTTACACTAGTTTCCCCATGGTCCCTAAAGGAATTTTTTTGAGAGAATTCTTATTAAGTGCGTTGTAACTTTAATAATTTTATATGAGGGTGTAAAATTTTTAAAATTCCTAATAAGGGCGTAATAAATGTCAAACTACAATAAATATGGTTTCTTGACATCTCTACCCTTTCTATATAATTAGTAATAAGATATTTTTTATTCATTTTCTTGGCAAAATATTATACCTATTATGTTATGTTGGATTCTTTTTCTAATTTTTTATTAAAAAAATTTTCCGAACTCAACAACACAAACTAAATTACTTTTGAGTTACATGAATTACCGTAATTTTAAAATCGGTAATTTCAGTAAAAAAGAAAAAGATGAAGAAGAAACAGAAATCTCAGCATATTATGGTGCCTTTGTAACCTCACCCCCTCCCAGATATAATATAGAGCACCTAGGTACACCTTATAAGGTGTACTTATGGTGGATACCACGCGCCCAAAAAAAGGGCAAAAAAAAATATTTTTCAAATTTTCAATTTTTTAATATCTCTCATAATTTTCAGTCATCATTAATCATATTCATCCAACTTCCTATTCCAATCTAAAGACGTCTCAAATTAAAAAATCTAAAAAATAAAATATTCTCTGCAGCGATTTGGCATCGAAACCTCTCTTCGGCGGTATTTTTTAAGACGAAATCCAATTGTGCATCAAATCTAGTGAGTTTGGTTGCAATATACGCTGTTGAATATGAGAATTACAGTTTGATTTGAGATTATTCATCTGTTTTATATTTTGTCCAGTGAATTTTGTTTGAAATTCTCAAAATCTTTGATTGGTAATTTCGAATTGCCAATTTCTACCCGTTTGATGAATTTTCAGAGGTTTATGGATTTAGATCTCTTGCGAAAAAGGACAAAATTCAGATTTTGTGAATCGCCAGAGGTTTATAATTGGATTTTAATCTCTTCAACAATTGATGTGTTTTTTTGATTGAGTTATGTAGATATAAGGCATGTGCATTTGATTATAGATTTTTATTCATCAATTTTTAAGTTTTCTTCATTGTTCTGTTGTTGGTTTTGAAAAAGACTAATAAATTTGGATATTATTCATTAGTTTGTATTCGATATTTATCCTTGAAACTAGCAGATTCATCATAATAATTGTGTTATTAGTTGGTTATTCATATTAATTTTTTGGTTAGATTATGTATACCTAAGGTCTCTGCATTCGATTATAAATTGTTGTTCATCAATTTGTTAGATTTGTTCATCCATTGGTTGTTGATTTTGGAAGGGTTCCAGATATGTTCATTATTCAGTAGTTACCCTGCCATTGTTGATTTTGAAACTCCACTTGTGTAGAAGGAGAGTGTATTACACATACCCATGAGGTATAACTTGCAAAATATACCTAAGTGCTTGTAATTATTTGCCCTCCTCCCCCCCCCAAAAAGAAGGTCAGTATACTTTCTTTTAAGTTTTATGCTTTAATTTATAATTTAATCTAAATTTCCCCGGCGTTGTTGATTATGTGTTCCATGCAAAGTCTTACACTTAACTTTTTTTTAAAAAATTCAAATTGGAAAAATCAATTTTCTTTAGTGCTAATTGTTTTCGTCATTTATGTGTAGAAATGTAAAAATTTAGTTTGATAACAAAGAGATGTCATTAATTCAATTTTTCACATATCATGGAATTTTTAAATTCAAAAAGTCAAAAAAAAAATTTAAGATAGTTTATTTAGGTGTCAATTTCAAAAAATAATCAATGAAATTAATATATATATATATATATAGATATCTCGATCTTTCCTTCCAAAAGGATGTAGTCATAATGTAAGTCATTAATAAAAGGTTAAAAATGTCATTAAAAGTATATTTAGTGTATTAAGTATTGATCTTAAATAAGAATTTTAAAATTTTTACGCCCTCATCAAGAATAATGAAAGATATTGCACCCTTAATAAAAAATTTTTCTTTTTTTAACCAAAACTTTCGATTCAACGAATTAAAAAGAAATGACTTTAATTTGGAAATGGTCCAAAAACTAATACATGAGACGAAGAAAACTTACTCTCATCACTTGGGGTGCATTGAGCGGACCATATCCATTTGTGACTTGAAATTCACCTTCTAATCTGCCATTGAATTCGATCAAGAAAACTGAGGGATCATCATCTCCCCATGTACTATTCCCTTGAAAATCAGCACTAACCAACTCCTCTGTCTTAACCTGAAATTTTTGTCCAATTTATTAGATTTTAATTACTTTTTTTTTCCTAAGGAAAAAGTATTTTAGATGTTGGGACCACAAAAAAAATAAAAATAAAAATAAAAAATAGGCTTTACTTGGGACAAAAATTTATTTGCAAACAAGAATCTTTATTAAACCACAATATTGAAGTTTTATTTATTTTTGTATATTGAAAAAAAGGCAACATCACAGAGGAAAAAAATTAAATGTAATAAGACCTGAACCAGAGTGGAGTTTCACTTTTTAAACAGCTCTTAAGAGTTTTTGATTTAGGTTTTATTTGGAAAAAACTGTGAAAATTCTACGATAACCATAGAACCACAAAGGCGGAAAGTGCATGGAGTTCTAGAGTATATTGTATGCAGAGATTTCATGTCTGCTAGTGAATCTCTTATTCTATTTTTATTTATTTATTGTTATAAGTGGCAAGGAACCAAAAACTTGTGTTACTTGACGACCTTGATAATGGTGATTACTAAATAATATCTTGAATTTTCCAATTTTGCATTGTTTAAAAAATGTTTATAATATATTGTTTATTTATACATTTTTATTTTATCTGAGACTACCATTAGTTCCATTGTATACTTTATTTTATTATGTTTATTGAACAAAGTAAATGATAAAAAAGAGACGAAAGGAACACCATTCTGCATAGTATACTTGCCAAACACTAGAGCACAAACACTTCCTTGAGGCTGCTAAAGGGATAATGACAACGTCCATTTTTTCACTTTGATGCTTATCACAGATTCACAAGTGAAAACATGGTTCAAAATCGATCAATTAGGTAATTTTTTAAAAGAAAAAATAGTGCGAAAAAGCTTTTCATCACATTAATTAAGCAAATAATTTGTCTTGAACCATTAAAGAACTTATGTAAAATTAAGTGCCTAATTGATATTTGATACATTAGGTGTCGAAGGACGAACATAGGAGCAAAGATACATCGAACCTGCAGAAAATACCCATTTGGTGCCCTGATACGAACACGATTAAGATCATCGGATTTTCTGACGATCTCAAAAGTCTCCGACGAGCCGGGATTTGTTTCAGTGGCCACTAAAGTTGTACCACCATTGCCGCCGGCGGTCTTGTCAATTCCCACAAATTGTTTGTTAAATACTCGGAAATTAAAGATTGTCTCACTGTTCCTCCATAACTACCACAAAAAGAAAGAAAACAAAAGAAAAAGAAAACAAAATCATGCAAACGAAAATAAACCTGTTAAAAGAATTTTTCGTCCCAAAATAATTATCATATTTCAGTTGACAGTAACAGATTGTAATAAAGTTAAAAGAGTTAGGACACACTTTGAATGTTTCCCAACTGGATGCGTTTGTTCTATTGGCAACTATGATGGTACCTCCACCACTTTCTGCTGATAGATATTTTCCAACCTTAACGGATTTAAACTGCAATCCCGTCCCATCCTATATTTAAAAAAAAATCAAAATCAAAATCAAAACACACACAAATTTAACGTCAGAAATAACAAGTACGACTTTTATTTTGGACCTCTTTCATCTTCCCACCCTTCCATAACTAATCACTTGACTATAAGATTGATATAGTAACATACCAAGAGATCCTTGTTAGGAATGCCGTCGAAAAGGGAGGGTTTGATCCAGCCTTCTGTAACCAGCCATCCACCAAGATTCACAGCTTTAACTCGAAAGTTAGGGTTAATATGTGGAGGAACCGGCCTTCTTCCATGAGAAACAGAAAGGAAGGAAGAAGAAAGGATAACGAAGGTGACAATAAGAATTCGGCTGTAGGGAGAATATATGGCCATTTTATTTTTTTTAGCTTTCTAGACTTCTTAACTATGATAAGAACCATCTTAGCCAGCTTCATTTATAGGCGGAGCACTACAAAATTAAATATTGGAAGGTTTCAACATCAGATAAAGTTGGATTTTTTATTATGCTCCACATTCACTTTGTCCATATGTAAAAGTGCGAGAGAATTAACTAGATAAGATATGAAAGAATGTAAGATGTGAATCTGAATCATCATGTTTTATTCTATTAGTATAGTACCATACTGCTGTTTGTTCAATCTTCTCTAGAAACATTTGACTCAACCAAAATGAGTAGTATTTGCTCGTTTTTGTAGTCAACGGGGCACTATGAATTTAACAATTATTGGGTATGTTGATTGATAAGCACCAAATATCTTTGTTAGGTAAATCGATGATGTCTTTTTTCATTCAAGTAGGTATTGAGAATTACGGTCGTTTCAAATATTATTTGCCTGCCTTCCCCCACAACCCAATTATATATGTGATGGTCTTTTCTCCACGTTCGTATTCTAGTACCAATAACATTGAGTTCAATTCAACTTGAATATAACAGTTAGCACGAGTGGCCAACATATTAATAAGGTTAGAATTCAAGTTTAAAAATACTAAAAACAAAAGCATAAGCCAAATGATAATAACACGATGTCTAACATTTCAATAGATTAAAATACTAGCATCGAAAACACATAAACGTTCAATTGAAGAGTAGATTTCAACTATCAAAGTTACCATCAAAGAGTATTTTCCAAGGAAGCAAAATGCTTTTTGGTTTCTATAAAGAAAGTGGAAATGGAGGGGCGTGTCTTACGGGACCAAAATGAAGCACTTAAACTCTTTAGTTGCGATCTCCCAAACTTGCTAGTTAGTAACTTGTTTACAGATTGTAGTAAATTCAAATTGTAGGGTTAATATTTTAAAAACTATAATTACTTTTGTGTTAGATAAAACTTATGACCCAATAACTTATATCATTGGCTGAATTATCCAGCCTTGTGTATTCAATATTATATCAGTCTAATTTCGTCAAAACAGATATTCTCTTTGTCCCAAAATTATTGTCTAATTTGAGATTTTACTTTTAATACAATTTGAATTAGAAATGAAAATTCAAACTGGACAATAATTATGGGAGTGAGGGAGTATTTGGGAGGTTCTCTCTTTTTCTTTGATTATTGTTAAGCCAGGGCGACCGAGTCAATCGACCGATCCTAGCTCTAGGTTTCGCGCATGTCAATGTCTTTAGCTTAGGATTTTACTCAAATTGAGTTTTTGTCCAAACAAATAATTGAAGCCAACCCAGCCAAAACATCTGACTTATAGATTAATTCAGGTTCCATCCCGATTCAGTTGCACTAATGTTAACTAGGTAGTATAGGTTTGAATGCGGGAGCCTAGAGGAATATCATCTCGAGAACCTAGCCAGTTCATGTTTTTGACTTGTTAGGCACGACACACAAAATATTTATTGAGGAATTTTGGTAGTTAATAACTATTTCCATGCACATATTCCCTGTGGATGAGATATAAACATCATCAATAGCATCACAAAATTTTAGAAAAGCCATCTTAGTGCACATCTTCAGAAAACACCTACATTATATTACACGGATAAATTAGCTTCTACACAAAGAAAATGACTAATTGTGAAAAATTTAACACGCATACAGAAACTTTTTGTGTTACAAAAACCTACTGTTTCCGGTTATTGGTTTGACCACCTACTTGATGATCATCGACATATTTTCGAAAATAATCATAGAAACCGAATAAAAAAAATAATACCATACCTTTTGTCCCAAACTTGTACTCCCTCCGTCCCATAATTATTGTCCACTTTGTCTAAAAAATTTTGTCCCAAAATTATTGTCCAATTTGACTTTTTATGGATCAAGTTACACATTTGTCCTTAGTAAAAAACATTATCCATAAAATCTTAGTGGTTAAACAATTACTTATATAGGGGTATATCCGGTTGTTTAAGGTAAAATATAGTTAAGTTTGACCAAAAATAAAATCTTTCATTTTAATAAAACTGGACAATAATTATGGGACGGAGGGAGTATTACAAATAAAAATCTAAGCCAAATAATTAATTATTTTGGGATGGAGGGAGGAATTTAGGGACTGTTGTATAGTTAATAGTTGAGACTCTTAATAGTTTACCATTTATCACATCATCATCTTCTGCAAAACTTGAGGACTAGTCAAACATAAGCTTTCTACATATGAATTAATGAACCATTTTAGTGATTCTGTCAATAATTAGCAAGTGTTAGTGTAGTGCATTAATATATCAGCACGAACGTCACATTTTCATTTCATTCAAGCCGTCTTACTTTAGTAATGATTGCTATCTTTCTTTGAAAATGTCTAAACCAACTTATAGTTCGTTTGAAAATATTAGAAGCTTCTTGCATTCCATTTTCAAAGTTTGCTGAAACAAACACCCAATAAGAGATAAATAAAGGAAAGAAAAACAAAAGGCCAAAGCTTATATGAAATCGAAAGTTGGCATTCCAAAAATTGTTGTTCTCGAATTGACAGAATAGAAGATAATTTTTTAGGCTTCTGACTTTCAAAAAGTCTCAAAAAAATTGGTTGGTTCTGTGAATGGCTCCTCCAAATGGACAATAATTTATATGTACAAAACTGACTCTTTCACAATAATGTTGAGAAGTGAATTGTTTGTTTCTTTTTTCTTTTCCTTTTTTTTTCATATCATATAAGTTGGTCTTAAATTGCTACTCCCATTACTTTTCTAATTAATGTTCGTCACCATTGGCGGAACCGAGTACTCAGACTTGAAGACTAACTATATATTCATAACGAAGATCGATAATCGAATATATATTAACGTAAAATTAATTGTAATTATTCTTAAGGAGTTTTCCGGCCGGTCGGAGAGGCTTGGTGAGAGTTCTGCCCGTGTTTGTCATAAACACAAGAAAACGACAAAAAGATACCGAGTATTAAAAAAATGAATTACGAAATCAAATTAAAAAATATCTATCCTCCAAAGAAAAGCTCGAGTTGGGAGTGAAAAAGCACCGTATGGTGAGTCAAAATTAATTGTCAACGGGAGATAGGTTGACAAGTCAAGTCAAAGATTCAAGCGGGTATCCTTTTGGTTGATTTACTATTTGACTTCGTGTTTTGCCTTGGTTTAATGAAGAAACAAAAAGGTTGAATGTCAATTGTCGTCCTCGATCAACTGGATTAATTTTACATTTTATTTTAGTCATTTAAATTGAAAAGTGAAAACTGTACGCAAATTCTAGTCTAAAGTCCAAACTTAGTTTCCATCTAATGGATGATTTTTTTTAAAAAAAAATTTAGTTTGGAATAAAAGTGACCTTCATGCATAAGTAGCCTGAATGTTGTGTTTTTCTTTAAAGAGACTTGTTAAATCTAATCGGAATTGAGTAAGTTTAATTTTGAAGGTTTTAGAAAGCGCCAGTCACAGTATTTCAATTTTCAGTCCTTTTGGTTTGGTTCGATTTGTATTGACTATATTTATTTTCTTCATAACAGATTGTGGGGAAAAAGGAATGAAGAAACAATCTGCTTCCATGTAAGAGGAAAAAGGCAAGCTATTTTATCTCCATTTCAATATGTTCGATCCTAATCTATTTGTGAAAATGCCATAAAGAACCGTTCGTTACCATGGAATTCGGAAAAATCATCTTATCAAAGCGATGTAACATGGAAATCGACAAGAAGGCATTTCCATTCTGGAAAGACTTAGTGGTGCTGTTACTCATGAAACTCTGGATGGCCCTGTTGACAGCTGTTGGGGATTTATTTAGAGGAAAAAATACGATATGTAGCCCAATAAGTAAGATAAGATCCATCTGAACTCAAAAAGCTCAAGCTAATGGGTTTTGAGTCCACCTTACTTATTAACTGATTCACATGTCATCATGCCTCCGATGTGGGATCCATAATTCTTGCTACATGACACTCAACAACATCTCTGAATCGATAAATAAGTCTCAAACGCTTCAAACTAGCTTCCTGCTCACAGGTTTGTCATCATTCTCTCATTGGATTACCCTTTTACTTGGAGTAATATATGTTAATAACATGTTGAAATCATCTGATGGTGTTGTTTTTCAAGGGTTGTCTATCTTGATTGGAATGGTTCTACACTTCTACCAGTAGATGGCTCAAATACCTTTTTTCCTGGATCCATTGATGATCTTCCAAGGTCTCTATTAAGGGTTGCTGACAGGAGATTCTGCACACTTTGGGCTAAGCAAGGATATGCCTTGCTTACATATTACAGAAATATGGCAATAGGGTCAATGATGATGAGAATGACCCAATAGTGACAGGAAGTTATTCAGATGAAAGCACTCTAATTAAAGGTGATGAAAGAAAGCTAAAAGGAATAAGAAGAAAATTGTTCTAGCTAGTTAATTACTTCCAGAACATTCACCTGATATGGGATTTAAGGATTCGGCTGCTGGAAAAGCTGTTTCTGATGCAACTTTGTTAACCAAAAGGTTGAACTTAAGAAACCGTTCCTGGAACTTATTATGGACTCTGAGTTGCTGCTTATTACTCCCTTTATTTCAAAATATAAGTCACTTTAGGCGTTGCATGTATACTTAGGAGACAATCATCCAATAATTAATTTATGTGTTAAATATTTGTTTTACCCGTAATTAATTACTTTGAAACTACAAACAAGACTAAATGAAAATAGATTGGCATCATTTATTGAAGGTAAAGTTGAAAAAGTAGTCATTAATTTACCTAAAATTTATAAAATGACTTGCATTTTGAAAAATCTCTCCAAACTTAAAACGACCTACAATTTGAAATGAAGGGAGTACGGAACTTATAGTGTTTATGCTTCTGTGCAGTGCTGTTAAAGATGTCGAATTGATGTCATAGCATGGAATTCTAACAAAGATTTCAATGCTCTGTGAGTTGACTTCTGACGATAAATGTAACTGAACTGATATCATCAAATTGCCCTTTTGATG